TTCTATTTAATAAATTTGTTTATTCATTTAGATATATATAAAATTTTATTAACCATCATCCATGTTAATGATTTAATACCTAAATTGAAAACTAAAGAATCGGAAAAGTTTAATCATCAATACCACTTTAATTGGTATCAAATGAAAATAAAGGGTAGAAAAAGTCGGGTCTATTATTTCATCCAAATATATATAATAAAAAAAAAAAAACCCTTTCTTTGCAATTATACACATCATGGTAAATTCACTGTTGGTGCTTTTGAGAAATCTAGACATACTCAGTTATGAATTCTTCTTCTTCTTCTTGTTTTGATACATGCTTTTCTTTTTAGGTGTAATTGGTTTCCTAAACCGGAGAACACATACACGAGTTACTGGGCACTATATTTTCATGAAGGGGAGGAACATAAATTATGTTGTTTGGATCTTCTTCTGTTTTTTTTCCCCTTTTCTCTCTCTGTTTTAGTTTTTCTTTTTGTAAAAATCTTTATTCCCACAACTGATAACACTTAAATTCAACCACTTTTAGTAAACAATTTTTATTTATTTTTATTTATAAATTAATATCAATTAAGTAGAATTAGTTTATTTTTGGGTTAATTTTATATTTCAGGGTGATCAGAGGGCCAAAGTAAAATTTGCTGAAAATTTGAGGCCAAAAGGTGAAAAGAGCATAAAAATGGACTGGAATTGGAGCTGCTGGAAATCAAGGCTGAAAGTGATCGATTGAAGAAGACGCAGAGCTGAATCCTTGCTGATGAAGGAAGAATTGGCTGCATCGTCATCACAATTGGTGATCAATGCAAGTTGTAGCCAAAGAAAGAAGAAGGAAAATGCAGAATTGGGAGCTATTCTGCTGCCAAGCTGCTACTATATCCGCTGTCACTTTTGTCAATCAAAGGAGAAAAGAGAAGCTGAAATCTTGTTGTTGAAGGAAGGGATTGCTACGACATCACTGCAAGTTACTGTTTCTACAAGTGGAAGAAGAGAAGAGGAAGAATATGAAGAATAAAGTAACAGGTACTCTATTACTTGCCAAATGTTGGTGTTTCTGATTAATCGATCGAATGGCTGTTGTTGGAGGCGAGAAATTATGAATTTAAAGTTTCGTAATTGTAAGATCTCTTCAGTTTAGTATATATTTAGAGAAGCAAATTCTGTGGCATTAGCTGGAGAAGCATCACTTGGAATATCAACCAGATACAACATTATGAGTAATTTACTTAGACATGTTAGGGGACTTGTGCTCTTAGAGCAGGTTTCATTTCCATACATTCGGACTCGCTATAAATAGTCTCTTGTATACTGGTAAGTCTTAAGTACTGCCAAGTTTCTGGTTTGATATTTAATAAAATAAGAGAGGAAGGACGCAGGGAAACTGGATGATATATATGTCCATCCCTTGGGCATATCTCTTGGGTGCATTATATCATCTAGCACTGACTGAATCAAAAATCCATCTCTTGGGTATACCCCTTGAATGTTTTTGAGTTAGTTGGAACCTGAATTTCTTTCCGACCTTCTTATTTATTTAAAAAAACATGAGTTTGGTCATTCCTCACGTACGTTTTCTTGGGGTATTATCTCCCACGTGAGAAAGTCAAATCGTAACAAACTAATAATATTGTCTTCTAATCTTCTTCTTCGTCAATTAGTGTCCTTTTCAATTGATTTTATTTCTTTGTTGTTCTCTGTTTCTTACACAATCCTTTTCTCTAATAATGAAATTATTATTATATCATTTATTTTTTAAAACTCAATGGATCTTTTTTTGGATTTTGTCCGTTACATCTTTCAAACTTTTCGAATTTCTCCATGTCTCCATTTCTACTCCCTTCTTCAGCGAATTAATATTGGATTAATTTTCTCCGTTCATTCTTGGTATTTAAAGCATATCAGTACTTTGAGAAGAATAAGAACATGCCGCAACCAATTTTGTTTAAACCTTGTGCCGTTTAGCTCAGCTAAAGAGAAGGATTGGGAAGATCCTTTGAGTCCTTACTTCCCCTCTTTATTTTGAAACTCGCATGAAACTCAGCTATGGTTGTCTATTATTGATAACGGTCAAATTGTTACATAAAAGCATTGCAATTTTGCTCTTTAATTAGTTAGAAATTAGGGGTGTTTCTTAGACTTTGTTCATTTTACTTAGCTAGTTTTGTGTTTCTAAATAGGTGAGGACCGGAGTGAACAAATGCTGAAAATGGGGGCTTATGGAGCAATAATTGGGCTGCTAATTCCAATTTAAAATGAGGGCTGAGTTGGTCAAAAAGCAACTCCAAGACACAAGACACATTGGGAGTTAATAAGGGTGTCCCACAATAGAAACTAAAGAGCATGCTTGTCCCCTTGAATGAAGAACCAACCACCCACATTGATCAATGCTGTTGCTGATACCACTGCTGGAAGAAGAGGAAAAGACCAGTCAAAACCGGATTCAAGACACAAGGCATTGTGGCTAATAAATAATTCACAAGCATGGGAGGCTATCTTGGAAGAAGAACCGGCTTCAAAACTCTATAAAAGGAGCTGCATTCCAAGCATGAAGGGACATCGAGTGGACATACAACACACAAAACACCACGAGAGAGAAGAAGAGAGTGGAGAGGGAGAAAACTCCAAAGGAAGAAGAAGTCCAGAGCGAGAAAAGAGGAGTAACAGACCTCACTCGCCTGAGTGACCTTTGTCACTCAGGCGAGAGACCTATTGCTCAGCCATCCAGATTTGCTTCTTCTCAATGCTTTCCTTCTTTTCTTGTATTTTCTGTAGTTTGTATGTGTAGTTAATTAGATTTCATTCTCTGGAACCTATGTAGTTTAAGTTTGTGAATGCATTCGGATGATTTGTGTTTTGAAGTTAAAGCTTTCATCTACCTCTTGATTAAATTGGCCATTTGATTGATTGTGCACAGAACTAAGTGAATCCCGGAGGGATAAACAAGGTTCAGAATCATTTAACTTCAACTTATGACTTGGAGGTAACAGTCCAAGGTTCTAATTGAGATAGGACTATACTTGGTTAGCATAAGCATTCATATAAGGCTTGAAAACTTAATGACTTTATGACTTTATTAATCATTGGAAAATAGTTTAATTGAGTTCATAAAGATACCTCTAGGAAAAATCAGAAGTGACTTAGAGATATATAAGTGCCTGAATGAGCATGAATTCATACCAAAAGAGTGCAACATTACAGCTTGATTACATAGGGAAAAGAGAATGAATATCTAGTTTGCAGAGTCAGTCCCTTGAGTCGGAATTCTCACTCCCGTGAGTGAGGTTCCATTTGTCTTTCTTTGTCTTCAGTTCTGCACAGTCACTTGCCTGAGTGACTTTACCCACTCGTGCAAGTGAGTGACACTCTGCAACTTTCTTTCTTGTTTGTCCAATTTTGTGTTCAGGTTATTTGAAGTTTAACCCGTCCCTGTGGGATCGACCTGACTTATCCTATCTACAGTTTAAGTTGGTAAATTATTTTGGGGGCTTCGACAACCCACCAGTTATTGATGCCTAGGATAGGACATTGGAGTCTTGATCATTTTACTGGTAAGGAGTTTTGTTGGACGTTTTTGTGTGGATATTCTTTATGTGGTTTGATGAATTTTTTTAGTTTTTGCAAAGATTGTTAGTGCTTCTTGGTGTCTTTTTCTGTTCGTGTTGACAAAGTCAAAACTACCCAACTTTTGTATTCTCTATCCTGAAAGCTCGATTACCTGCTCTATCAGGTTATCCAAAGGTGTTTGTTTGTGTTCTTTTTCTAAAATGATAGAGAAAATTGATGTTCGTTGAATTGGAAGTGATCCTAATAATCAGAATTTGCAAAAGTTTGTTACAAATAGTGGAACTACAATATTCTGGCTTTCTCGTTAAAATACTCAAAGCATTGAACCAAAGTTCTTATTGCTGGTCTTGATTGCAGCGAAGTATTTTCCCGTTATTTCTATGCTTATTTTTAATTTTTATTTGGTTACATGTTACAATTTTGTTGTTTATTTGGGTTCTGATTTTTTGTGGCTGCATGGATTGAAACAAATAAGCCAATAAAGGATGATGAAGGAATGGAAGTATATATGTAAAAGCAAATGGTTGATTAAATAATGCTATCACTCCAAATCTACTCTTCTTAAATTTTCCAAACGAATTTCTTTAAACTGATTCTGATATTTACATTGAATAAATTGATTTGATTGTATATTAATGCACACATTAATGACTTTCTTTCCTTGATTTCATTTATTTGGCACAATCAAAGTCATGCGTGTTGGGAATAATTTGTCACGGGTATAATAAAAAATTTATGGAGTAGATAAAAAAAATTAATTTTAATAGTATTTGTTTAATACGCCAAATCAAAAGGGCTTATTTTGGCTCTCACGGTTATAGATATAATTTTTTAACGTATTGGTTATGTATGACATCCACAATTGAGATTTTATTTTTGCATTCTCAATTTTAGGTGTAAAACATTTAGATTAACTCCACCGGGGCAGAGTCATCATCAGATTCACGTTTTTGGAGGTTAATGAGCCCTTATCACTTCAGCTATATTTTCAACATATTAATTTATTAAGAGATACACTAACCTCTGTAGTTTGACCCAGATTATTGCCAGCCTCAATGAGCAAACAACAGTTGGTGAAAATCCTACAGGTTTGGAAGTTTAAGGCGTGGTGATATCATATAAGGCTCTTAGGAGCCACTGCTCCAATTGATCTGCTGAATGTGAGACAAAAAGAACCTTACTACATTTGCCTTGGTAGCTACAAATCTCTCGAGCAACTGCTCCCATCTATTGTTCGTTTTTCAAAAGAGAAGAGGATAGGCAGAACCCACGGCCAGGACAACCCTAGAAGGGTATGTTGCCCCAAATCAAGCAGGCTAACTGACAAGACAAATACAACAATTGCATAGACAAAAATTCCCAGCAGAGGTCCGTCGTGCGTAACAACCACCTTGTAATGAGGAAGAAAGGCATTGGTGATGCCAGAGAAAATGAGCCAAATGGCAGTGAAAATCGTGGGTGCAGCTTGCAACGGAGAGATTGATGCTTGCGGGGGAGCTTGGGATTGTGTGGGTGTTGGTGGTGCTTCCATTAGAGTTTGGTGTGAGGCTGAGAGAGAATGGAGTTTCTTTTGACTTCTGAGGCGGAGAGAGAGTAGTTTTTAAATATATATATATATATGTGAACATATAGGGTTTTTTCTGAATCGATGGTTCAGATTGGCTCTTCTTTCTTTTCATTTTCTTTCCATTTCTATCCTTTACCATGGTTCTGATTGGCTCTTTCTATTACCATCCACAATTGAGATGTCATTTTTCATATTCTCAATTTTACTGGTATAAAGCATCTAGTTTAACTCCATAGGGACAGAGGCATCATCAGCTGCACGTTTTTGGAGGATCAATGAGCCCTTATAAATTCAGTTAATTTTTCAACCTAACTATTTCTTGAGTCATGCACTAACCTTTATAGTTTGATCTAGATTATTGTCAGCCTCAACAAGTAGACAACCGTTAGTGAAAATCCTGCACGTTTGGAAGTTTAAGGCATGGTGATATCCTATAAGGCTCTTAGGAGCCACTGCTCCAACTGATCTGCTGAGTGTGAGGCAAAAAGGACCTTACTTTATTTCCCTTGGTAGCTTTAAATCTTCCGAACAGCAACTCCCATCCATTTTCCCTTTTTCTAAAGAGCCATCAATTTGGCAAATAAGTATACCTCCAATTGTTTTGATGCTAGACTTATGAGTAAAGAAAGTATTAGTTTATAGGTGGCTATATCAATAGTGCTCAACGTTGTGGTGTGGCAATTATTATGGCCATTAGTTTTAAACTTTTCATTTTTAGCACTTATCAATATAGCAATCCTTTTGGATCCTCAAAAAAAATTAAGGCCTTGGCGATGTCTCATCTTTCTTGTGAGTTTTGAATAAATTAATGGACTTTATTCTTTTCTTATTTTCATTTTTACATAACCTTACACCAATTTAATTACTTCCTAAAAGTATTACATAAACACTTGTCTGATGTCCAACATGGTGATTTGATGACCATGCAACATGGTGATCTGATGTCATCTCGACACTATTTCTATAAAGTTTCAGCAAAATGACTTCTAACAAGTTATAATGGACATCAAACCGAAATGTTGCATTGTTTCTCATAGTTCATATACTTTAATTACACTGTAATGTGTAAATATAACATTTTTGTGAAGCCATTTGAATCATTCATGGATTAATCACGGTTATCAAACCACAACAGCACAAATTCTCAAGTCCATAGGTATCAAGTGAGGAAGTTTGATTTCTTGGCCAGTTATTAAGTGATTTTATTTAAGTATTTGTTGTACTGTATTTTTTGGTTTTGTAGAATGGTGTAGGAATATGATTTTCATCACATAATTATATTGAGTCTCGGGAACATTAGATTGCTAAAGTAACCCCCACTTACATTTTTTGTATTTTTTTTGCCTTTACAAATTACAAGTGCGTCAAGCTTATGTGTTTATTATGTCTTGTGCTTAAACTAGATAAATACTCTTTGGCTTCTTGTGGAAATATTTGTATATCTAATATGTATAATTCCTTCAATATTATAGTACTAGCTCAATTTATAATAATACTAGAACGTTGTTTAATCTCTAAGGATGAAAAGGCCTCTCACAATTCAATCTGCTAGATGCGTTTTCAATGGTACAAATAAACAATAATTTGATATTGGAACATGCATTACGGGTACCAATTGACTTATTGTCATCAGGTTGATTAATTGGTCTGTTCTTTAGAGAAATTATCAGTTGTTTTTTTGACATGAACAAACAAATAATTGGACTAATATAACCATATTTTTAAGTTTCAATATTATTGTCCGGTTTATTATTCTAATTTCGGTACAATTTGAACTAAAATAAAAACTTAAACTGGACAGTAATTTCGGGACATAGGTAGTACATATCACTTTTATTTTTTTCAACAATTTATCTTTCACTGATACTCATATGTGTATCGGAATATAATTCCTACAAATACAACCGAGACTCTCCCAGATGAACATCCATGATACATTACATTGGGTACGCGCTTTAAAATGAAAGTATGTGTATGTTTGACAAATATGATATTTGAATACAAGATGAAATATTTTTCTTTGAGGGTTTATGAATATTTACTTCTCATTTTCTTGTGTTAATTAGTGTTAAAAAATTTTGGACACATAATTAAAAGAGTAAGGTGATAATTAAGTATTTATTTGATGTAATGTTTCACCTTAAGTAAATGTATCACATAAAACTATATATAAAAATACATATGAGTGAGAAGATTAAAAGACTAAAATTGATAATCAAAATACTAATGAAAATTTAACTACACCAAAAGGCTATTGACATCGATGTTAACCTTTTGATCTTCTTAATCATTAATTTTTATTATTAATAGGGCATAGAAGAAGCAAAAAGATAAGAAATTTAATAAAAAAAAATTGAATGTTTAAATTATCGATATAATCCTTCACACAATGTAGAAGGATACTACCAAAATTTGACGTGTGAGAACCAGTGTTGTCAGACCTGGACTAGACTGGCCAGTTTAATTGGTTCAACCATAAACCGTTCTGTAGAGCGATCCGATCATAAGCAAATCCCGGAACAAATTTTAATCAGACAAACTCGGTCAAGACTGGCGGTGGGACGTGAACCGGTTGACCAGGTTTTAATTTTTTCACTATATATATATTTTTTTAATTTTTCCCAAAAAATGCATGATTTTTCCCATGTTTTCTTCTTTTCTTGTTTTCTTTTCTACCCCACACAATCCACACCCCAATTTGAAACCGAAATTTTCTTGACTAAAAAAATGAAAAAAAAAATCGAATTGTGGCAGACAACTTATCTGAAAAATAAGAAAATCGGTTCTTATTTGTCAATTTTATCATGTAGTTTTAAAACCATTTTATATCTAGGTAGATAGCATGATCAACATGTTATATTTATTTTAATTTTGTTTTAATGAAAACTAGTTTATGATACGTTAACATGTTACTCACCATATAACACTTGGTATAACTTCAATCTGATTAGTTAAATAAAAACAGAATAGTTCAGTAAAAAAGAGAAATGAGACTCTAGATTTTCCATATCAGGTTGATGATGATGATTGGTTGATCCCCCACCACACAATTAACGTTCAGTTTACTTTAACCGTTACAAGATGAGTTACATATTATTAAATACAATAATATCTTCTCGTATTTCTATCTTTTAGTTAAATTTTTGGTGTTTATCCTTTTAGATACTTCGGTTTGTGGTTTGCTATAAATGTGCAAGATCTTACGATCTTGGACTTTTACAAATCAACAAGTTTCATATTGTTTGTTGTGAAAAGCAAAAATAAATATTAACATACGGTAAAAGCTTCCTAATACTATTAATTTATTTTTACTTTGCTTTTTTACATATAAAATAAACAAACAATTTAGCCTAACCCTTCTTACTCTCTAACTTGTCACCCACTCCCACTAAGCCATGATGCTCTCTCGTCCCAACCTACTAAATACACACAACTGCACTCAATAGGTATTAACACATTTATGTATATTAAATTAAATAAATTAAATAATAGATGAGAATTGAATAATATAGTTTACCGGCTAGAAAGTTATGCTAGTTAAATTTGGGATTGGATCCAGTTAATTTTTACTAGGGGTTGGGAGATTTTATTTCCACATTTATGTGTGGGCTTGACGTGGAATTTTTCTTTTTATTTTATTTTAACTTAAATATATGATATTTAATACTTATTTTTTTCTAAAAAATTCACTCAAGTGGACCCTACTTAAATGTGGACAAATCCTCCCTAACATAACCCTTGGTGGGAATTGAACCCATGTCTAATGTCTGAACTACAACATTCTAACCCCTAGGCAGTTATTTAATACTTAGTTGTTTAAGTTTCATTTAGACAAAAACACTTATATCCTATCTCTTATATGTTTGAAACAGTGGAACTTTTATTTTAAGTGAAGTATGTCTACTTTTGGTATCTTGAGAATTATCATTTAGTAAGATATACATCAAGAAAATTTTTATTTTTTAATGTGAAATTACATTCAAACACAACCATGGACATATTTAGAGAGAAAATGAAATAGAGAATTATAAGTTATAGTGCCAGTTTGCAAGTGAGACCTAAGGCCGCCGCTCTCCCCTTTCTTCTTTCAACAATAGCCCCTAAAAATATGTCCTTCTCCCCCAATCACCATTAACGGTGGTTGGGAGAGCTAAACCCTTTTCTTTTTCTTAGCTTTTTCAAAATTTTAAGCCTCTTTTTCGGTGTTTCATTGTTTTATCGATGCAGTACTCAAAATAAATAGATCTGTGTTACTAAAAAGTGATTGATGCTCAAGCCGCAACTCTTCCAATTTGTTCTGAAATAACAGTTGCTTCATCAACAAATTGCTGACTGCTACCGGAGATCCACAGATCTGAGTTCACAACTCCGACCGACACGAATCTCCAGATTTGATGCACCCCGGCGTACTTCCACCTGGATCTACTACCGCCTGTGATGCGGTAAGACACCGTCCTGCTGTGCCAGCAGCCACTCCTAGCAGCTAGTTTCATGGCGCCGGATCTAGTCACTAATGTTTGCGTTACTCAAGCCGACATTCTCGCTTTCGCTTCGTCCACCAGTGCTCACGCAGAAATTTCATAGGTTTCCCCTGACTTTGTCCGTGTCAAGCTTTTGGTTTTTTCATATTGTTAAAGATTTGAACAATGAGCAATGAAAATAGAAGGCGAGTGGAGGGCCACCGTGCATTGGAGAAAGAACGCAGCAGCAATGGAGGTCCACACAGCGGCACCGGACGACGTCCGGCGACGCGGACCACCCCATCTCTAGATCTGATGCAACCCGACGTACATCCACCTGGATCTACTACCGGAGGGTCACCCTGCACTGGAATAATCTGTCGTTTTCCTGGCTAGGAGGTCTGCCGATGCATCGGTTAGCTGGTACACCGGCTATTGGGTTAATCGATTTGTTGGTTAAGTCACTGTTTCTATTGGTTATAGTACTTGGTTAACCGGTTATGCTGGTTGACCGGTCCTTTTGGTTTTGTAATACAGGTGGTTATCGGGTTATTTGATACAGATTGGTTTGATTCTTAACTTTGCCACGATTCATCCTTCAGAGACAACGTCAGAGGTTCTTCATCTCTCCTAGCCTTTAAATCACTCACCAGTTTTGAAACTTATAAAAATTACCCTCAAAATGGCAGTCCAAGATCTGTGATATAGAAGGAGCGAATCACGTTGACAGAGTAGGTGTGTTAATCTCTGTTTGGGTCACTGGAATCTTTGTTTTTGATGGCGACGCGAGAAAAAGACCGTCAGTACTCAGAAAAATCAGTAATTGCCTTATTCATTGTAAAACGACCGTCTTGTCTTTGTACAAAAGGTTTCTATTTTGAACGAGGTAAGTCTTAAGCACTGTCTTTGTCAATTTTTCGATATTAATAAAAACTAACCCATTAGGGTTTTCAATTAAAAAAAAAGAATTATAAGTTATAGTGAATCTTTTTCTTTAATTATTTTTGTCACTATTATTATCTTTATCCAATTTTAAGGATAGATTGTGAAAATTTTATTACATATATATAGTTACCATCTTAGTGTATTTACTATGTAGATGTTTCATTTTACATGGATAAATAGATAGAAATTGGAAAATCATTGAACAAGTGAGCCTTAAAAATTTACATTACTTTGTGAAAGTTTTGGTTAAAAATATAAGACCATGTTTGATAAACTCATTCAGTATTTAAATTTAATTGATTCAAGTGTTTAATTGATTGGCACTGTTTGATAACCCAATCTTATAACAACTTAATTGATTAAGAACATAAATTTTAAGTGTGTTTGATAATTCAATTAAGATGTCTTAATAAATTAAGTGAGTATGAAATACTAGTATAAATGTGAGTATGAAAATAAATAATATGCCTATCACTTATGTCTGGATTGAATCTTGAAATGATCTTTTTCCTATTTATTTAACTTTATGTTTATACTTTTGATGTTTTATCTTAAAATATTTTTATGAATCTTGGTATTTAGTTATAAACTAAAATTTATATAAATTATTTTATTTAATTTGTATTTATTAATATAAAAAAATCAAATTACGAATAAAGTCCATGATAAATATATATTTGCCATAAAGATATGATATTGTTTTGACAATGATAAATATATCATATTATTATTAACTGGAAAAATAATTACATAATAAAATTTAAATATTTTTATACATAATTTGCTAATAATATTTTTTTATTATTATAGTTTCATATACATCAATTATTTTTTCCTAGAAAAAAAAATTATAAGTTGGAAACTTTAAATTTCAGTGTTCAGAATTCAGATTTCAGACATTTTATTCAGTCTTCAGATTTTGATTTTATAAAAAACGACAATCTTAATTAGTTCAGTACTTATGATTCAGTGTTCAGATTTCAGACTTTAGATCCAAATTAAGTTTTATCACAAGGGCCCTAAGTGTCGAATAAATTAATTGATCCAATAGTAGTTAAAGTTATTCCATGCACATGTTCATCTCTTGGGAATACCCCTGGTTGCATTATATCATCCACCACTGATTGAATTAAAAAACATCTCTTGGTAGACCGCTTAAGTATTTTTTAAGTTAGTTGGAACCTGAACTTCTTTCAATTCTTTCTTCTTGCTTAAAAAAAAAAAGTTACTCCATGTATCCACACCCAGAAATTAGTAGATCCTGTCTACGATGCGGGAAATCCCTGATTTTATGAGCGAAACGTGGACAAATACATACAGAGGCAGAATTAGAAAATTATTGGATACAATTAGTATATCTTTGTTATTAGTGCAACAAGTGCAAGTGTTCCCTTTTTTATTGCTAAAATTCCGATAAAAGTTTCACTTTTTACTAGAATTACTATTTTATTCTACTTATTGTGATTAGTAATCTACTTAGTACAACACTTGCACACATTATTTTCTCGTAGAATTAATGTAAATTCTTTTAATCTATTTGTATGATGATTAGGTTGTTAAAACTAAGTATATAACAGTTGACCACTGCTCCCAACAATTTACTACATTTTTTAGTAAAACTAGTAACACTAGAAGTTTTTTTTTTTTTTTTTTTTTTTCCCCGGGAGTAAAAAAATAATGTACTTGACGCGCACACAGACACAGTGGAGACCTACCTGATCTAAAGTTCTGAACAACAAAAAACCACATGCCCATACACTTGCATTTAATAATGAGTGTAAATTCTTTTTGAATAATTACTCTATCGGAGAAGCAAACACACAATTAATAAAGGAAAAAAAAAATTTATTAAAAAAAAGAGTGGTTGGTTTGGTTTGGTTGGTTTGGTTGGCCTTCTGCTGCCTTTTTTTGCTTTGCTTTCCTTTTTATTTATTTATTTTTTTTTTGGGTTTGTTTTTGGTTTAATCTCCTTTCTTCATCTTCATCTTCTTCTGCTTTTTCTGCCATCCACATTCCAAAAACCCTCCCAACCTAAAAATAAAAATTATTAAGAAAAGGGAAACAGTTAACGGAAATGGAGAAAGTGACGTCGCAGATTCCTTCTACTCAGTAGATCTTTCTTCTTCCGATCGGTTTGGTATTCAGTAGAGGAAATGTGAAGTGGTGTTCGCCATTTTGGATGAGCTTAGTTGTTTTTGTTGTTGGATTTAATCGAGCTGTGGGTTCAGAAGTAGTTGTGGGAGTAGGAGGAGGAGGAAAATGTCCGCTTCTCTTGCGGCATTTGAGCGTCCTCGTATCGGCACTTCAAACACGGTATTATTGATATAATTTTCTGTTTTGCGCTTTTGTTTCGTCTTTGATTGATATTGTACGAGTAGGAAAAATTGATAAAATGAGGGATATGGCGGTCTGTTGAAGTTAAATTGAGTAGAAAAAGCAGTGTTCAGAGTCAAAACTTAGTCTTGCATTTGTGTGTGTGTGGTGGGCTTTTTTTCTTATATAAATTTATGTATAACCTAATGTTGATTCTTCCTAGTGTAATTTTCTGACGGGGTTTATGTTTGAGATTATCTACCCGTTATGATCAACCATACCTTTTTCGGCACTGAAAGAGTGCAGACAAATTTCTATCTGCATTATGAAACTTTTCTAGTTTCTGTAATTTCTGCTACAAATTGATGAGTTGTAAGGGCCCAAAATGTCTCGTTGATTGTTTTCGTAATAAATTGTGCAATGTTCCTGGTATCTGTTGTCGCTCCTAATTACGGGACTTATTCGGTCTCCTATGTGTTTTTTTATCAATGGGATATGTACACGAGATCGTAATTTTCGTTCTATTTGGAATTTCTTTAATGTCCAAATGCGATTCACCTGAGTTGAATATTTTGATGCTTTTCCTAAAATCCATCGTTGTTAGTAGAAACTGTAAAGGTTAATTGGCCATTAGTCTGCAAATTTCATTAAGAAAGTCCTGTGAAGAGCATGATTAAGACTCCAAAATCATACATGATTATGATTTTTAAACTGAATAGATAGGACAAGTTATTTGGGGTAGATGCGTGTAGAACATCCTCTCAGGACATTGGCAATGTCAGAATTTAGTTTGTAATACATGTAAGTCAATTTTTATGACACTTCTTTATGACAGAAGAATTAGAAGTAGCAGGAAAGTGAAATTGTTTGAAGTGGTGATTGCACATTCTCCTGCTGATTAACTCTTCAATAGCCACAATCATCATCTTTAGCGTTTGATCCTGATAAAAAATATCCACTTATTTCTCATGCTTTTCCTTAGTGCAAAATCCTTTTTTCATTCTGTTTTATCATGCTTAGGTTAGTACCTAGTCAGCTTTTTTGGTTCTCCCGTTCAATGATAGAGTTAATTAATACTCCTGGTGACAATATAAAGGGTGCATCAGTGCTTGACAGTGGGTTATGCTTAGCTCTCTTTGTCTCGATCATCCTGGCCTGCATACTTCCTTAATGATGTAGACGCATTGTCCTTTTTGTTTTTAACTGCAAATAATCAAATCTTATCTACGCTTGAAGTCTTGTTAATCATATTTTGACAAAGAAAGACATGTGATTTTTCTGTGAGCAAGTTCGTTTTTGTGTTATGCAATCACCACCCCAAGGAGTAAACGCTACAGTTGCGAAGGTGGATCGATGCAATTGTACTGTCATAATTTCATTGAAAACTTCTTTTCTTTTGAGGGAAAAGATGTCTTAACTGTTCTTTAGTGTCTTTGTTTTTCTTTAGTTGTACACCGGCTTATATTTGTTATGAAATGCAGGTCTTCAAGAGTGGGCCGCTGTTCATATCCTCAAAAGGTTAGTGCAAGAGTCACAATTATTTCAACATAGTGATCTAAACTGTTGTGTTTTTGTACATCAAGGACAGTATGTTGCTCACATAAGAAAGAACTCAAACCATGTCTAGCTGATGCCATGGGAAGTTATATGAATAATGCAAGTGGCAAATATGGTTGATGATTAAGGATATACTTCACGTAAACATCTCAATGAGATCTAGTGTTAAAGAGAGAATGATGCACAGTACAATCATAAAGCGACAAATTACTTTGTAATAAATCGACTATGAGTTAATTTCTGCATCAAAGAATTGGTTTCTCGTCAGTTCTCATTAGCCATGTGATGAAGTAGTATTTGGAATTACAAGTGATTATGTGGTCTGTTTTACGGAAAAGATCATGTGCAGTTGATTTCTTTAACGGAATTGCAACCTTTTATCACCACATTGCATGTTTTAGAAAACCTTGGTTAAGTTGCTACATCAGTTATCAATTTACTGAAGATACTCTACACACTTCGAATAATGTATTGGAAAGGTAATTGCAAGATTGAAAGTTCAAGCTAAAAAGCAATTGGCCTTTTGGTTGAATTGTTTATGGATCTTGGGTCGCTGGAGCCAAAACTCATAGTTAAACAATGAAAATATTGCAGTCCGGGCATGAGGTAATATTTGCTTAGGCATTTCGGATGGCTGCGGGCATAAGGTGACACAGGAATGGTATTAGGATTCAACATGTGTTTAGTAGTTTGTATTGATTTCAGAAGTAGATTTCCTTCTATTTCAGTTCCTATTACTTGTATATAGGTTTCTTTTAAACTGTTATACAGAGTTCTTACTGTACCATGAGGGACCTCTGTATACATGGGAACTCCTGCAGCCTATTGGTTATGCTTTTGTTTTCAGCTTGAGTATTTTAAAGAATAATTTGGCTTTCTGTCCCTTGAACTTGAGTTTGTCCCTTCTTGCTCTAATAGATATCTCTCTCCAGTATTCTCTCTTCAAAGTGCATGAATCTGCTGTTGGTTTCTCGGAATAGTTATGAGAGCAGAGTTTGAATTGATCTCGGAAATGAAAACTAAGTAGTCTGCACTGACCTATCAAGCATAAGATAATAATGTTCAATGGATGTTATGTAGAGCAATTGACCTGCAGATGTGCATTAGTAATCATTTTGAATTATTTATCTTAAAAAGGATTATAATTGAGTGGGAAGGGTGGACTGATTTTGGCTTAGAGAGACCTCTTAACCTTTCTTTAACAGAAATTCTCTATGAGAAATGTTAATTTGTATGCTAATTACCAAATTATTAGTAGCGTTATGATGTTTGCTTAATCGAAAGTTTGGGGAAAAGTTGTAATGCATCACTTGTACTTTTGCGCATTTCCTGGTGCAGAGCTTGTTGAACGAATTTGGAAAAATTAGTGATTCAATAGGTTTATTTTTTTTTCTTTTTCCTAGTTAATTGATCAGTGTTGAGGTGCAGTTCTGTTTTGGTCAAAATCGAAGTCTTCAATAGCTTCAGAATGACTGACAGGTGACGTTACTTTCATACAACTAGCAGAAGAGAGATATATCATAGAAGACGAATAATTAAGAAATTTTAGGAAAGGAAAATAATCTCGTTAAAGAACTATTGATTTTGAAGTTCCTCATCATTAACTGGTAAAGTAGCTCCCCATGGATTTTTCTACATCAGATCTCCAGATAAACTACGATAATTTGGATTGATCAGTGAACAAGTATTAGGATTAAATCAGCCCTTATCTAGGATTTAAGACTTAAGAGTGCATTATAGGAAATGGAAAAAAAGACTTCCTCTGATTTTTAGAAGTCAATTGAAACTTTTTCCATTGGAAGCTTTCTTCTCATTGATATCACGAGCTGACTATACTGTTAACTGCTACTCCCTTGTGTGGATATCACAAACTATTTCATAAAAGCTGGCAGCCACCTTATTGAAGAATATAAAAGGCATTTGTACTCTGCAGCTGTTTTAGATGGTTTCTTGTGTGGGGAAGATATGGTAAAGATGCGAGCATGTTGACTTGTTATGGTAGTTGATAGATGGATTTGTTAGTTTCAATCTTCTGTTGGTTCACATGATGCTCTATCAGCACCTTATCTGTCAGTGACTTATTGTATATTTAAACTACTAAATTATAACTTCGTCTGAGTACTTAAATTTGAAATGCATAGTCCACAATTGTATCCCGTCCATTCACGAGGACTGGATTTTTGATCCCTAAAGGATACATGCATACTCAACTTTGTGATTAAGTTAATATGAGTGATCTGCATAGACCATTAATGCTTTCCATCAGTGTCTTGATTTATTAATTGATAGGCGCATATTCTATCAAGCTGAGGCAATTTGTCTTATTCATCTTTTCTGGTTTATTTTCATTGTGCCACAAGGCATATGTGAGTTGTCAGTTGCTCATTTTAGTAGCAAAAGATTGTCTGTCGTAAGAACTTACTCAATTTGTCACAAATCATAGTTTGATATTTAGATCTTTCTCAAAAGGATGTCTTGATGTTACTGGTAATAGTGAAATTAGACTATTGGCTAATTGAGAAAGTAACACTTTTTACGTACACGTTTTTTCGGATACTGAAACTATTGTCAGTTTAAGATTATATGATGATAACATTTCTTTTTTGTTTTTCTCAATCAACTTTTAATTGTTGAATAACTTATTTGTACCTATTGGGTAGTGAGAATACATTGGGTAATTACATAGCGATGATGTCTACCCTAGAAAAGAGTAAATCTTCGTGCCTCCAAAACTGTTGACTTTTTCGAAATTGGCTACTTAGTCTTTTATGCTTACCTGGGGATTGAGAAGCATTGAGGTTGTGATTTGGTCAAGGAGAGCTTTGAAACACTCCCTGCTGGAGTAGGGAGTTTGACTCTCTCTCAATTAAAGCCAGAGAGCAAAGCGGGGAGCTCCTAACTTAAGGCCGAGAGTGGGGTCACTGTCCAGTTGGTTTCCCCCCATGAAAATCATAGGATAAAATGGCAAAGAGAGCTAATTGTTTTTGACCCGACCATTTTGTAGCCTGACTGGAAGGTAATATTTGTTCAAAACTGGTTGGGCACGTCAGAGTGTGCTTTGAAATTTCATCCTTTCTGGGACACTTTGGTTATAAAGTTAGTTTGCGTTGTTTATTGAAATTACACGGTCACTCTACTTAGCCTCTATGGTGTCAGACTAGCAAGAAGTGTTCTACATTGCTGTATTTGAAATCATGTCACTGTGATGATACATTAGGGCGGAGAATGTGAGGATTTGAAGACCAATGAATGGGTTAATTTTACTACAGTTTGGTCTTAGAACATTCCACAGGAAACATGCACGCAATGTTGTGTCCTTTTTTCTGCAGTTATGTTTGTTTCTCTAAGCAGTATTGTTTACGCCTTTCGAACCGCTTGCAGGTTTAGGTTGGAAGTCTTGGAAGAAGCGTTGGTTTATCTTAACGCGAACGTCTTTGGTTTTTTTCAAGAATGATCCGGTTAGTGCAAAATCCTGTCCGGTTTATGCTTTTCTTGGTGAAATTCCACAAAGCTAATGACATATGTTTTTTATTGGCACAATCTTTATTTCTGCTAGTACGGTAAAATCATGAGATAGACCAAACTCAGGTCCATGTTGATGGAAATTGAAACTTTATCAGTACATCAAGTACTCATTATAAGAATAGGATGAACACCAACACCCCCTTCCACGAACACACATGCCAACAATGTTGACTCTTCTAGCTGTTTTTGCTTCAAGTTGTCGACAAAGCATCATATTGTGATGTTCTTGTGAATTATGGAACTTGTGCCCTGCTTTTGACAGTACTTGTTTATGTGGTGGCACATGTTCCACCATAGACACATAGATGAGGGAAGGAGGTCTAGCTATCACATGTCAATTTTACGCATAATGGGAAGGGGGTCTAGCAATCACTTTTTTTTTTTTGCATTTGTGGGATTATATGATTATTACAGCGCATAACATAAGAACAATGTTTTGGATCTGAAAGTGAGAAAATGGCATACCTTAATCACACAACGATCTTGACTGTACTGTAAATATTTGGAGCTAAGTTGCAGTGACTGACCATCTTATTCACATTCTTACTTATCCTCTGAAGAGTGCACTTCCGCAACGAGGTGGTGAAGTTAATTTGACGCTGGGGGGTATCGACTTGAATAACTCTGGAAGGTTAGATACAACTATTTTAGATACTTAATAGTTTGATATCCTTCCTGATCTTCTTCTTCCATTTTCCATTCTCTGAAGTCAAATGTTTAATTCATTTAAGTGACATTTCATCTAAATGCAGTGTTGTTGTCCGAGAAGACAAAAAGCTTTTAACAGTATTGTTCCCAGATGGGCGTGATGGCCGTGCATTTACTCTAAAGGTGGTTCCTGTCTTTTGCTTTTGATTTTGTTACTTCAAATTTTAAAGATGCATATTGATGATCTCTTTGGTTTGAAATGTTTAGGCAGAGTCTTCTGAAGACTTGTACGAGTGGAAGACAGCACTTGAACAAGCTCTTGCTCAAGCACCAAGTGCTGCACTTGTGATGGGCCATAATGGAATATTTCGAAATGATAATGACTCGATTGACAGTTCCTTTCACCAATGTATGTATATGAGTTGTTATACTTCTTTATTTTTCCTTTAATCTTCGATTTCGTTGGAGTTTCCTGATAATATAAGTTATGACAAAACTGTAGTCCTTTTGACTGAACCGCTTTTAACCTCAGGGAGGGATAAACGTCCTGTTAAATCCATGGTTGTTGGGCGACCCATCTTGCTGGCACTAGAAGACATAGATGGTGGTCCATCGTTTCTTGAAAAAGCTCTACAATTTCTTGAGAAATACGGTAACATTTTTACTCATCATTGTGGCATCAATTCTTGTTTTATCTTCTTGGATATCAATTGCTTAGTTCTGCTAGCTACGAGTAACACTAACAATCGTAGTAAGTCTTTCTGTGTTAAGCAGAATGCTTAAGTTAAGTTATCCAGTGCTTAGTTTATACAGTGTACAGATGCAGCTAAATTCAAATTTTAATGTACCTTTAACTAGAAAATATCTGATTCAGGAAGATGTTAACAATTATTACTTTAGACTCACGGTTAAGGATCTTATGTTCTAAGGCTTATTTAGTTTAATTGAGTTGAAGTTACATATGTACTGAAAAAGGTCATTGGGAGTGTTGCGGGAGAACTGTGTTTTACTAATTGTTATATGCTACTAGTTGTGAGCCCAGAGTAATGCAGCCTCTTGCAGAATTATTTTACGTTGGCCACAAAACTTTTTTTGCATGGATGAATGGGCATTTGGGTTCATATTCTTCTGTTAGAATTGCCCTTTAACTTTGCATCACAACCCAATATTAGTAGCTGGAGATTAGATATATTTCTGATAGCTTGATAAAATCTGCATCAAGTGAATGTCTCTCAGAGATAGCTTCTTTACAAAGTTGTGAAGATTATGGTAACCCTCTGAAAGAGATCAACAATAGAATGAGAATCCATATAGTTACCATCAATGTTCTCAACATTGCTTGTCTGGATTTTGATAATCCTCTGAAAGAAATCAACAAGAGAATGAGCATCTGTATAGTTTCCATCAATATTCTCAACATTGCTTGTCTGGAGATCGATCTTCATGTTTTTTGTCTATTATATGCCCACTATTAGTGATTTATGTGATCCTTGCGATGGATAAATCAAATGTTCTGTTAAATGTACTATTGAAATTAAAACCTTTGCTATCAAATTTATTCCAAACTATGGTAGCTCATTCATCTCTCTAAATTGTGTGCTATTTCATTATCAGGAACCAAAGTAGAGGGAATTTTACGTCAATCTGCTGATGTTGAGGAAGTAGATCGACGGGTTCAGGACTATGAACAAGGTTTCTTGTTTCTCTTTTGAGTTTATTCAATTAATTATCCTCCTTGTCTATTTTGTCAGTCTGCAACTCGTGGTACAATTATTTTATCAGCTATTATGATCATTGAATTTCAAGGTCTCTACTATGAGTAGGTGTCTGCTATAGTTTTCCTACGATCCATTGTGTCTTGATTTTTTGCACCTTCAACACGGAAACATCTTTTTTTTTTCTTCTCATCATTTTCAGATGTATATCAATAAATCTACTTCCCAAAGCAACCACGCTTTGCTTTAAACTTTCTTGAGCTGAGCCTTTTCGTAAATTTCTGGATATGAAATTGCTATATTTAATTGGTTACCGTATTTTGCATGCTACGGATTTACAAAGGACATCGTGAAAAGGGGAATTGAAGGTTACTTGTTGCAATTTGTATGAAATGCAGATAATTGTAGATTTTTTTGGGAACTCCTAGCTTACTTTCAATCCCATGGTTAATGGAATTACCATTCTTTCCCTTAAATGCCCGAGGCTTGTTGCTCTTCTAGATACTTTTGGGCACTGGGTGTACAATTTGCTGGATGCCTGGTTACTTGACTATCTAAACTGAGCATGAAAAAGACAGGAAGAGACCTAATCCCCTCTATCTTGATGGTGGATTTTATTGTCAGCTACTTGCACCAGAGCGCACCTAAGTTATAAAATGTGTTCCTTGCCTTAAAGTTTTCTTTTTAACATTCGGCGTTATTTCCTTCTAGAGGGTGAAAGTTCTGGAATATGTGTGCTTACGTGAATCTATTATGTACAATGAAGAAGCGATGAAGCAAAAACTATGTAACATCACTTTTTTTGGGGGGTGTCAAGCTAGAAGAGTAAGAGTCTTCTGGTGGTTCTGGTATAATGGGTCCTTAGGCTGCTTAGTGTGTTATATCCATATGTAAGTATTCTCTATAGGAAACATAAGCTGATAATTAGGGCTATTTTAAGATAAGGGAGGACTGTACTTCGGGAATGCCTCTTCTATTTAGATTGTGGTCCTTAAAAATATATCCAAAAGTTATCTGGAATATAGAGCACATACATGCTTTTATTTTGAAGTCACTTGGAAAAAATGAAGGAGAAGAAAATTAATTGAACAATCATCACTTGCTCCCTCCATTCGAAATCCAAAGCTATAACCAAGCTAGCCTTCATATAATCTACACAATTGAACTTCGGAATATAATGTCCTGGTAGGTATTGCTATTTCTTGAAGTGTCTTGGCTTTCCAGGGGGGCCTACAACTATCTTTTGGGTAGCTAGTGAAAGATTGAGAAAAGCAAAATGTTGTTAGCTGTAACTTCTGCTGGGAGCTCTTAGAATTAGCACTTAACATTTGCCAATCTGATTGTAGTTTTACGAAGGCTATTTAACAACCATATGGTTTCATGTTCAACATCAACATGAACATACCCCATTATATTCCCAACCAGGTTGGGGTCTGAAGGTGAGGTGTAGGCAGCCTTACCCTTGTCACTATACAAGGAGACTCGAGATAGATTGCATCCTTCAATGTATTGATTTTCAGCAACTTCACTAATAGAAGAAGCACTACAACTGAGTAGAGCCATTTTGATCTTGTCCATTAATTAGCATGAAGCTAAAATCGTCAATGATGACTCTTCCAGCTCCATTTGCAATGGACATGAGGAAGAAAATTCCCAGTTTAGAACTTTTTGTGCTCAAACTTAAGCTGGGAACTATGGGCTTGACCCTAGAAAACCCTCTGCAGAGAATTTAAGGGCTTAATTGTCTCTTTGACTTTCTGTTTGAATTTTCCCTCTCCAGTTTTCTTGGTGCATTTGCTTAACAAAATCCTTAATGGTATTTGGACTTCTGGGTTCAGTGAAAAAGAGGCAATAAAAAACATTCCAGAACGATAGGAATAAGAAGATTCATCTAGTGGGTTATTGGTATTCATTCTGGTGTTGTATATAGTTTTTCTTTGTTTTCTTCCATCTGTGTTCTTGAATAATCATATGATAAGTTGCAAAAACTGTGTCAGTGTAAAACTTATCTATGAATGTCAGTTTGACTTTAATTTCCAGTTGAAATAGATGGCGATAGGCCATCTCAATTTGTCGACAGGGGTAAACAACTAATTCTTAGCTGTGTGGATCTTATATCACCCTTGGTGGTCTGTGCATAAATCTTTTCATTTAGCTTTAAAAAAGGCATGCCCTTTAAGTAGTTTGTGTCTAAATCTTTGTTGGTTTTTCCCTTTCACTTTTCTGTTTAATTTGAAATAACGATTTCATATTTCATGCCCTTGATTTTGAAATCATACTGTATTTTCAATGCCTGTTTAGGTAAATTGAAAAACTTTGATACTTGGATTTCGCTGAAGTCTAAACTTAGCTTTACTCTAGAAAAACTAATTCTTTGTTCTGGTTCGAGAAATCTACCATGTGTTATTTGTTTATTTATGGTTAACAGCCTGAGCTAGGACATTAACATCATTATTTTCAAACCTACTTCTTGTTGGTAGTTTATGTTTTAAGAGTCAGAAACCCTTTCTTTTTAAAGGCTTGGTGGATTGAACTGTAATTTTCAATTCCCTCATATGCAACGTGGCTGTTTCTGTGACCTGAACGGGGTCAAATGACAGAAACAACCTCTTGTAAAAATATAAGGCTGTGTACATTTAGCGCCAATGGGCCAGACCCTTACTGCGATCGAGCAGGAGCTTCTAGGCACCATCCCGTCTTTTATGTGCAACCCTAAAACCTTTTCAAGCTGCACGGTAATTGGCTTTTTTTGAGGGTAGGCATCGAATTCAGGACTTTCTCAAACGTTTCTGATTGAAAAATCTGGGACTGGTTGAATTGAGAAACCTCCTATTGTCGACAAACAAATGTTATTGATCAAATGTTGGCAAATTTGTGAATTACCTTTATAATGTCTCTTTACGTGGACATCTGAGCTGGGACCTTTTCTGTCTAGATTGTTGAGAGACTAGGCATATGCATTTGGTATCTTGTGGGCTCTGTAGTTTATGATCTATTCTTAAATGATAGATTCCACGTCTGAGCTTTGGTTAACTTGTTTGCAGGTAGGACTGAGTTTGAGCCTGATGAGGATGCTCATGTCATAGGTGACTGTGTTAAGGTAAGATAAGTGCTGCACAACTACATAATTCCCTCTCTTAATCACTGATCAAGTCAAAATTTATCTGAAACTCCCTCTTTTCAGCACGTTCTTCGGGAGTTGCCTTCATCTCCAGTTCCTGCTTCCTGTTGCACTGCCTTGTTGGAAGCCCAGAGTAAGTGCTCTTCCGATTATTTTCGTGAATACTTAGTGTTGCAAATACTAATGATATGAGAAATAAAACACTTTGGAAGATGGAGAAATGAAGATGATACATGAATATGTATTTTTTCTTTTTTTTTTGGGGGGTTATGAGTTTTGGATATGCACACATTTATCTTTCCATGGAAACTAGCTCATTTTCAACGGGTTTCGTGCATTTGCATTGCGTAGTCCTTGAAATTGACCAAAATGTTTACATGTTTAAGGTTCAAGGTTAATATTTTTGTTGAAATTCAAAACAATATTTGGTGATCTGAGTTATTTGGGAGTAGATATATATATATGTTGAATTGATATTTTCTTCATTTTCTGCTCATTATTTTATGAAAGAAATTGATGGAAAGGAAGCACGGGTGAATGCTATGCGCTCTGCAATACTGGAGACGTTCCCCGAACCCAACCGGCGCTTACTCCAGAGGTAATTGATTCTTGTTTGTATTGATGGGAGTGCTGTTTCTTGTTCACGCTGGATGTTCAAGATCGGTTATTCAAATGAACAAATGATCAATCTCAGCTGTGTTTCTTTTGCAGTGGATTAACAATGGCTTTCTATTTTATTATTTTTTAATGTTTTGTAACTGTCTATTATTTCTGTAATTTCACCTTTAGGTAGAGCATTTTTATTTGTAGCGATAATTGGGCCTTCATTGCTATATTCTTTGGTTGAGCATCCATGTCGGTTGCTTGAAAACCTCAAGTATAGCATTTGGATTTCCTAAATCTTTATGCTTCAGATTTGCTGAAGGTCTTCCAACTTTTAGGTTTTATGTGGGGCATCAGGTTGTGCAAACTTGACTCCCTTTGTTCAATGTTTCCCTTAATATTCCTCAGAAACTTAGTTCTTCATCATTGATCAGAGTGATCCTTTGATTGTTTGGTGCCAGATGGATCAATAATCCTGTAGTTCAGCCAGTGGTTTCGTGTAATCATGGTTTTCTAGTGTTTTATTTGCTAGTTATTTTACTGAAACAGCACAATGCAAACTTAGGATCTCCTCAATATCTTTCACATCAAAGTGTGGGCAAGTTCTTTTGTTTGCCATTTAGGTGTAAATTATAGTAACTAATTAATTATTTAGCTCGAAGGAGGCTTGTTTCTGGTGATGATAAATAAGCATGTTGCATTGGTTGCTGTCCATTATTTGCATGACATCTTTGAATTGTGTCTGCAACTGTATGCCTATGATGGCTATCTGTTTGTAGTTTAATGCTATGAGGCTTGGAAAGTTGGAAAGTCTCATGGCCCCTTGCCTTAAGCTTAAAGGCAATGATTTTACATTGTTGTTTGTGTTTCCTTTCTGGTTTTGTTTAAGAACTAGTCATTGATCTCGATAACAGTTCTTTCCTGTCTATTTGCGTGTCCGACCGCATTAGCTGGCAGTAGTTTCATTTCCACACTGAAGTGCATAAAGTTGAGTTTGTGAAGGGCGACTTTTATTTCAGGTTATTTGATGCTTCCTTATCTGACCAACTTTTGGTTCTGTCAGAATTTTGAAGATGATGCATACGATTTCAACCCATGTGTCTGAAAATCGGATGACTCCCTCAGCTGTTGCTGCTTGCATGGCACCACTTCTATTGCGACCGCTTTTGGCTGGTGAATGTGAATGTGAAGATGATTTTGATGTGGATGGAGATAATTCTGCTCAGCTTCTTGCTGCAGCAAATGCTGCTAATAATGCTCAAGCTATTGTTACAACACTTTTGGAGGAGTATGATAATATCTTTGATGTAAGTTTCTTTTAATTTTCTGTACCAAGGATGTATGTATACATATAAGCGAAGCATTTCAAACCTATTGCTTTTAAGTTATATAATCTGCAATACCCATCAACATGGAAGATATGAACTTTGGATGCTATGTATGCTACTTGATCTGTTAGCTGCCTTATGTGCTCGAAGAGTTGTGCAGTTGTAAGCTGAAGTATGATAAAACAAAAGACGTAGTTATGATAGACTTAACTTTTCTCACTGTCAATATATGTATGTTTTCTCCATTTGTTCTTGCATTGTGTTCCTCTTTTGCCTTATTGATGAAAGTTACGTATACGTTTTAGGCTTGTTTAGTGCTAAATTTATTTGTTTTGTCAGGATGATAATCTACAAAGATGCTCCATTTCTGCCGATTCTCATATTGAAAATAGTGGGAGTGAGGAATCATCTGATGAAGAGACGCTGAATAAGAAAGATAATGGTTATCATGATGCTGAAAATGAAGTTGATCTAGAAACTGATGATGATGATGATCGCGTGCTCAGTGGGAAGCTAAGTGAAACTAGCGGTTCAGTTGCCAGTGATCTTTATGATTACAAGGTTTTCTCTCCGCAAGTCTCTTTTGTCATGCTTCATTATCAATATTATTTGGTTAACAATAAAAACTGTACTCTGTTTCTCGGCTTGTGAGGCATAAATTCTCTGCATGCTTTACTAAGAGCTTCTACTTTCTAGACACTTTCAATCCTTCCTTTGGTTTGTTACGGCTTTATGAAACATAAAGTTGATTGCTCCTGTATATTATTGTTCCTTATTGATGTATGCATTTTGTTTAATTCAGGCTTGTGGAGGCGACGATTCAGACTTTGGATCTCCTAGAGGAAATAATTCATTTGGACCGAAATCAAATCCATCTGTAGACTCTCAAGTACATCAGGACACCAGCATCCCTTTTAATGAACAAGTTAATTTAAAAAAGAATACAAAATTGAATGGAAGGGGTTCTTCTAGCCAACTAGCTGGTAGTGAGCCCCAACGATCCATGGGGGAGATATTGTCCTCAATTGATCACGGGCTACATCAATCTAATTCTGGGCCTGAAACATCTGTAGATAAGTCGATTAACAGAGTTGCTACATCAAATACCAACACTAAGAAGTCAACCTTTTGGGGAAGAAACAATGTAAGTTCTCCGTCTTGTTTGTATTGAACTTTCTTGTTAATGAGCATGCTGTCGCGAAAAGGTCCATTTGATTCTTGTTGCCGGTAATTACTAATGTTTGTAAGTACCATCCCAAGCTCTTTCCTTTGTATTTGAATAATGCTCCTCTACATACCTGTGATGCTGGACTATAGAGATACTTTTGGGCGTAGGTTTTAATATATATATGTAATCTGACTGCGAAAGATGATTTTGTCTGATGATTCGCACATGATGCCTACCTTTTGAAGTTTTAGACAGTATGCATTGTTGTGGCCTCTCTTGTTTTCTTTTACCTTTCAAGTCATTTTCGTCTCTTTCATAGGAATCCTTGAAGTTCCAATAGTGATTATTGGAATTTTCTTTTTAATAGGGTAGGAAAACTCCTCTGGCGGGCTCCTTTGATTCTTCTGGAGAGGAAGAGTAAGTTTTTCTTATGCTTTTCGTTCCTGTAATTCATTGATCAGCTTGTTCTTTCATCTCCTCTACCGAGAGAGTGAGGTTTACTAACATTAAATATATAAAAAAAGGTCAATCATAAAGCTGCAATCAAAAGATTTGATGGGAGAAATAGCAATCTGTTTGATAACTTTAGTGACTTATCAACTTTTAGAGTTCTGTCACTGTTCAACTGATATTCTGGCAGGCGCTTTTTATACTCTATTGAGCCTAGAAAATCTGGTAGTTTTTTATTTAAAAAGATCTCTGGATCTAGAAAGATGATGCATACTTGGTTTTGGAAATTGTCATATTGTATTGCTTTGGAAAACATGACGCCTAACTACTTTCTTCCCTTTGGTCCTTGTAATCTTCCTCGTTTTAAATCCATTTGAATCAAAATTTCATCTCTATCAATTTCTAAACAACTGATAGTAATGATCTTTGTGTATTTGTCGAGGAGTTGATGACAGAAATGTAGTTTCCTGGTTGTAATTAGCTAATATTTTTAAATTTGTACTAGTATGGTTGAATGTGTTTGTTCAATATAGTGCTTGACATTTTTTTTTTAATGTTTTTGTAAAGGCTTGCCATACAGAGACTTGAGATAACAAAAAATGACTTGCGACATCGGATTGCTAAAGAGGTATTGGAGCTTCAAATTGTGGTTTACTATTGGCATTTTATTTGTTCTTTTTTCTAAAGTATGGTATTTCTTCATGTTAGGCCAGAGGAAATGCTATATTGCAAGCAAGTTTGGAGAGGAGGAAGCAAGCTTTACATGAGCGTCGCCTAGCTCTGGAGCAAGATGTATTATCCTTTAACTTTCAGAGATTAAGATTCTGGTTACTTTTAGCCTATCACCTCCATCAATTATATCTATCATAAAGATAACGGAAAAGTTGTTGCTCAAGCCTCAAACTTCAAACTGGCTTCCAATTTGTTAATGAGTGATATCCCCTCTCATACTTATATGTAATGGTGCATATACTGTCCTCCAGATAAAAAAAAAAAAAAAAGAAAAGAAAAACAATTTTTAATTTACTTGTCTGGAAACTTGGCTTGAAAAAAGCTTAAAGAATTTCTGCCCTTTGTTTATGTGGGAGTCATCATGTATGATAAACCATACTTCCAGATTATGATGATCTTGGACAACTTTACATAAAATTTCTCTAATAGAAACTGGATAATAAGTATGTTACTGATTACTTGACTTTGCACTATATAGTCTGTTGTCATTAAGTCTCCGTGTCTCTCCCTTTTTCAGGTTGCCAGATTACAAGAACAGTTACAAGCTGAGAGAGACCTAAGGGCTGCGTTAGAAGTAGGATTGAGCATGTCTTCAGGCCAGTTTTCTGGTTCTCGTGGCATGGATTCAAAGGTTTGTAATATGGTTCAGATGGATTGCATTATATATTATATAGTGGATACCCTGGGTAATTTGTGACTTTTTGGAGTAGACAAGGGCTGAGCTTGAGGAAATAGCCCTTGCTGAAGCAGATGTGGCAAGATTGAAACAGAAAGTTGCTGAACTTCACCAACAACTTAATCAGCAACGTCAGCATCACTATGGCTCTCTATCTGATACAAGTGACCGTTATCAGCATGCCTCGAATCATATTTCTCAACAGTGAGTACTCATATTTCTCCTCTTTGGTGAAATTTCTACGTAAGATGCTAAAACATATTGCTTTTTAGATCCAAAAACTCATGTGCCAGCCTCCGACATTGTTTAAAATGTATGGCTAATATCAACCAACTTCTTCATTACCTTAGTATTAGTTGGAAAGAATGTTCTATTATTGACGCTGCTGAAAGTTAAAAGTTGTATTTTCAAAGTTGCCTCTTGACCAACTTATCTGCTTGATATTACTGAGAGAAAGAAGAATTTGCACATGATATTTATCTTAAAAATCCGCGTGATATACTCTATCCGTGCCATAATAGTGGTTTGTATTAAAAGAATTGTGCTTTCCCAAAATAGAAATCCTATTTTAGTTATGAAACTTAAATTTCTTACTGAAATTCCTTGCACAACTGGAAATCAAAGGTCTTAAAAGTTGTACCGAAGTAGTTAACCAAAAATTAAAACTAGTACATTCTAAAATGTGGATTATTTTTATTGGCTTGAAGAAATTTACCAAATTACCCATATAAGGAAAGAATTGTTCATTCAAAACATCACTTTATCCTAGTAATATATAAATAGTATCACTGACCCCCCCCCACCCCCCCCCCCAATAAAAAAAAAAAAAGAAAAAAGAATCAATACTAAGGAATGCCCCTACTGAACCTTGGGAACCTGGCTCTGCCGCATGTTAGACCTGATTCTGTTAAGTGCTACTTATGATTGGGTAGTGTTAGAGTCTTGTAATACACTTTAAGTGAATGGTGGGAGTGGGACTGATAACTTGATATTTATCCTGGCAGTTTAGAACAAATAATTTATCCCATGTCCTCAATACTGTGTGATACTAATGTTTGGATCCACTTTTTAGTAGGTTTCTCATTCTTTTGGAAAATTTAATTAATATATTTCCCATGATACTTTTTGGATCATATGTTAGCAATCAAATATGGCTATTAAAAAACTGAAAGTATGCTGTGTCCTCTATTTTGAGTGATAAGTGTCATCCAAAAAACTTTCAAAACCAGTTAAAGAGTACCTATTCTTAATTTTTTTAAAAATGGTATCTATTCTTATTGATCATAGTGTTAGGCAATTAAATATGGCTTTTAAAGGAATTTATGTAGAAATATGAATCCTGAGATCAATGTGTAGGCATACTGTTTTATGGGATAGAATCAGTATGGAGGCATTTAAATGATAGGATGGGAGTCAGATCAATGTAGAGTGGTATAAGGTACTTTGAGACACTTAGGCAAGAAAGAATCATCAACCCAAATTAAAAATGGAATAGAGAGGTTTATAGAGAAATTTTTTTTCCAATTCTTCTTTTGGGGGATTGTGTGTGTTTGTTTTGTGTGTGTGTGTGTGGGTGGGGGGGTGGTTGTAAACCTGAAGACGTGTTGTTGACCACCCCACTATGCAAGCATGATTGATCCTGAATCATGTTCTCCTTTGTTGCCTGTTAAGATTTCCTTAACAGTATAAATATTGAACTTTCTAATTTTCTTGATCTGAGAGGTTTCTGTTGCTTGCAGAAAATATTTCCAGCAAGATTTTGATGCAACGCTTGCTTTCTGCAACCACGAAAGGAAACAAAGAACGGAGGTGATTATTTTCTGTACTTTGTCTTTGTTAGGTTTTGTATTTAAGTTTGTATTCGATCCAAGATTTTCCTTCTGATGGCTTTTCTGGTGACCATTTACACTCTTCCCAATCTAACTTCTTAAAATTTGTTAATCTACTTGGTGCCTGTTCAGCAATCAACATGTTCGTTTACTTTTTCAAAAGAAAAAAACAAACAAGGCATTAACTCTATACTCAGAATTCCAGTGTTCTGTTTTTCACTTGTAAGGTTGATGTCTGATCTCTTTATGTTCTTCAAGGAAAAGAAAATTTCTGTAGCAGATTTTGGGTTACACTTTTCGTTCTTCAAAAACAGATATATGATATCAGAAATTTGATTCATAAAACTGTAATCTATTTACCGAGCAGTGATTTGTCAACTTAATGATTTCTGTTTGTTCATGTTTACTTGACGATGTTCCATTTTTTCACCTTTAAGGGGACTTTATCCTCCACCCCCAATTTTTAGCTGCAACAAGATAACCTCTATTAATATCTGACTTGTTGCAATTGTATTTTTTATTTTTATATGGTAAAGTGTCGATTGCACATCATAAATAGTCTGTAGAGCGTTGTCCATACTTTATCAACTATTTTTTGCTCTTTTGTTCTCTTGTTTTCCTTGTATTCAATTTTATACTTCTGCAGGAATTATTAGGGTCTGATTCGAGGAATGTTAAAGGACAATTGTTAGCCTCTGGTAGCAGTAGCAGGCAGCCTACTAGAAAGCAGTTTATGGACTCGCCAAGCTTGGGTGATTCCAAAAGTACAGAAGCATCTACAAGTCTTTCTTTGGAGGAACTTGGTGCTGTTGATTCAACTTCAGTACCATCTTCCTCAAGGGCAGAGGTAAGAATTTTGAAAAAATAACAGCATCTGTATGGCTCTCGTCTTGTGATCTCGTCATCCCCAAATAAGTATTGTGAAATCATACCAGGAGACTCTGATGATGACTAACATGTTTCAAGTTGCATTTGTAGTTAGTAATTCAAATTAGGATTGGACCTTGTTAAAAGGAAATAGGAACGAGTGTAAAAATGAAAAGAGCAAAAAGGTGGAACCTGCACTTTCTTCTAACTTCTTACATATATTTGCTCTACCATTCAACATCATGAATTTCAAAAGATTGATATGCAAACTACAGGAATGACTATTATTTTCCCTTGTCCACTCATACTCTAATAAGATGCTTTGAGGTTTTTGATGAACTATTAAATGTGAGTGCTCCGGTTCACAGTTATCTCCATCTAATTGACTTTGTATGTTTATTGATGAAATATTTAGAGTTTAGCTATGAAATTGCACTTGCAAATGGTTTAGATTTATGACAATGCTTAGGTATTCCTGATTTTATAATGCTTATAAAGAGGCAGTGACATTTGATCTTTCTACATAGGAATAGCTTGGGTTTGATCCAGCTTTGCTCTAACGAGATTCAATTTGGTAGTTGATAAAAAAATAAAATTGAGTGTGAAGCCTGGTGCTTTTTCTGCCACATGAGCAGGGTCCTAGAAGGTCAGGCCATTAAGGCCTAAGGTATCTTGACTTGCCTAATACTTTAACCGCCAGCTTAGTGGCAACAGCTGATGAAAAAATAAATGAGTTATTACGTCACTTTCAGGATTTTTTTAGGAGTGTATGCATCCAAATTTTAGTAACCCAATATAACATATCTTGGTAGTACAGTTAAAGATCAGGCACAGTTGGCAGTTGGTAAAAGTTCTATTTGTATCATAAACACAACTCGACTAGTAGTTATCGCTGCATCATGGCCTTTCTGATAGAAAAAGTACATGAATACATTCGTTAGTACATGACTTCACACTTTTAGGCATTTAGGCAAGTTTAGGTAGTGAAAGGGGAAAGTCAGAAAAATGACTAGAATTATTGCAATTGCTGCTCATTAGAAACCTATTACATTTTCATTCGGACTTGATACTCTGTCCAGCTTCAAATTTTATTTGCGTAGTTGGTAATAAGCTACATTTTTTTTTTTTATGTTGTTCCATGTAAAACAATAATAACGATGAACAAAATGTTTGACATGTGCCTTACGGCAGCCTAAGATCACGATAATTGCTCTTAGAATAGGTATGCATGACTAGATGAAGGATTGATTGACACAAGATGATGAAATTTACATGGCTAACAATTTACCAGAACTCTGAAACAGTCATTAGAGTGTTTAGTGGATGATATCATTCGACCTCAAACATTTTGTTGTATTGTGCAGGTGATTGACTATAGTAGAAATCCATCAACAGCGTCTTCCACTTTGATAGAGTTGACAACACGTCTGGATTTCTTCAAGGAACGACGATCTCAACTGATGGAACAACTCCATAACCTAGATTTAAACTATGGAACAACGGCACATGACTTAATGTACAAAGCAGCTTCACCTCGTTGGAATTAATGAAAGAGGGGCTTGTGTCAGTAAACATCAAGCAATCTGTATATCCTTTGTATTTTGATATGAGATCTACATTTTTTTATCCGTCTATGTGCTACACAATAAATAGTTATTATTCTTGTGTATATGTTTAGATGAGGGCTTGAAAGACAGCAAAAGGTTTGTGAAGTGATTTAGTTTAGAATCGAGCTATTATTTTTCTTTGAGAAATGAGAATGTAGTGACGGCTTTAGGGAAGTTCGTGGCTTTGCTTGTTGGCATCTCGTGCAATAATGTTCTTGTTCTTAATGTTAGCCATTGTAATATAACGACTATTATACAGAGTGAATATGCTATTTAGTTTTTGTGTATCTTGCGTGGATGGATTGATCAAGTCAAACCTGACTTTTTCATTTGCATGTACTGAAGGACTTCTCAGAAAACCCCACCTAGTATGTATGTAAATGTCCGAAAATCTTCTCCGAGGGCATCTCTCCTACTGTGTTACATCGATTTTCAGTCCTTTGAAAGCAGGGTAAGTTTTGTGGTTTTTGATTGAGAAAGTCCATGTGGCTGTCTGTCTATCAAAATATTGCCAGTTCTCTTCTCACTTCAGTTTAAAATCTTGAATTTTTCTACTTCTTTCTGGCTAGCCACAAAAGGACGCTTCATTTGCAAACCTATTCGAAAAAAAGAGAATGACCAATTAATTCGGTACCATAAAAGTACTGGGAGATCGAGGCACCATTTGTTTTCTATGTATAGAACAGGGTTTTCGTTGCATGGTAGGCTTCATTGCATTCGTCCGCTTCCCTTCGTTTTTCTTTTGTGCAACTGTGAGAGGAGACTTATCTTATCATTCCGTTTTGTGGTTTTTCTTAAAAAATTATCTTAGAGATAGTGGAAATGATACGGAGAGAGGGATGGAGTTTCATTTTATAAAAATGCAGAACACAAGTATATACAATAGAATCTCCATAAATTAATACTATATCAATAGAAAAACCTATTCATTAATGAGATAATATTTTTTTAGGAAATCCTCTATGTGTAAACTTAGGTACCGTAAAATTTTATAAATTAATAATTACCTCAAATAAAAAAAGAAAAGAAAAGAAGATTTAGTAAAATCGGTTATATGATGATTTTTTTTTTGGATGAAATTTATATGTACGGAGATTTATCTCTGATTACTTTTTTTTTTTGTTGCATGCATTCAAAAGTTCATGTGTTAGTTTCTTGAATCGCAATAAATAAAATTGTGAAGAATTACTACAACATATGTACTCCAATACACCCTCCGGTCCTTATTATAAGACATTTTAATTTGTCCTAAATTTCATTTAGTATGTTCTTTCAATTGAAAATAAAACATAAAAATATTTTATAGTAATTAGGAGAACACAATAAATATAAAAGTATAAAGATTTTATTTTTAATTAGAAAAACATACTAAATAAAATTTAATTATGAATTTATTCATTAATGAATAACTCCACAAATTAATAAATTTTTTAGAATTCAAGTTTCAACAATATTAATATTTTATAGATGTTTTGATGTATATCATCTTTAGAATCTATCCAAATTATACCTTCAATAAATGCTATTAAAATAATACTTTTTATCTACTCCTAAGAGCATCTGCAATGGTAGTAAATAACAAGTAAATAATTACTTTATTATACTATTTGTCATTGTGTGGAGTGTAATATAATTCTGACACCGTGTAATACACTTATTAGTATTAAAATACATTTAATGTGAATTTATGATAATACTAAAGTTATTTCATTTTATTATACTTTTACGGTATAAACCAATGTGGTGAAAAGTGGAATAAAAGTACTCCCTCCATTTCAAAATAAGTATCGTTTTGGCAAAATGGAGAAATTCTAAAATAAGTGTCGTTTTCGTATTCCAGTGCATTGTTTGTCAAAAATTTCTAAAAATACCCTCAAAATAAACAATATTATTGATAACATTTATTTTAATGGGGTTGGTTGAGGATATTCTAGTAATTTAGTTATCCTATTTAATGTTTTCCTAAACTATGTGCAAACTCTAGAATAACACTTATTTTGGAACGGAGAGAGTATAATATTAAAAATTTATGACATTACACCCACAATGGTATAAACCATTGTAGATTCTCTAACTGTAACAAGTATAAACCAACACCTCAGACGCAAACCTAGGAAAATTTAATAAAAGATTAATTTGATGATTTATACACTTCTTACCCCCCATATTAATAGATCAAGAAATTGAGCATTAAGCTACGGTCCGTCATGTATTTTAACGTGACGTCCTGTTATCATGCAATATTTTTAATATCGAAATGTGCAATTCTTTTTAATTAATGGTGCAATTATTTAGTTTCCAAGTGTTTAATACTTTTTTTTTCAAGAATGCAACACTAATGAATTAAATGTGCAATACTTAATTATCCATCTAGTGTGCAATGTTTTTTTCCGCAAGCGTTCAATGTCTTTTAACTAATTGTGCAACACTTGGTTATCAAGTATACAATGTTTTTAAGTAATTGTGCAATTTTTTTTTTTTTTTATCAAACTATCCATGTCTTTTATTTTTAAACAAAGTTTTCACTTAATTCAATTAAGTATCAGTTTCGAAAGTTGTGTTTTGATATAACCCTATTCAAAATTTTGATATACATTGCCGAACAATGTTATTTAATGGATCAAAGATTAAAAAACTAAAATAATTTTTTTCTCAAATGCAATAATGCCACGATGATCTTTGTGACATGTGAAGCGCTAACGCTATTTAATCCAAAATACTCCCAAAAAATTTTGCTTTAAGGTGAAACTCATTTTTTTTTAATTAAAAGTTCAAAATTAAAAATATTTAAGTTACTAAAATTGTGTTCTAAAACTAAAAGATGCAAGTTATATAAACAAATGTGCAATTGCATATTAACTTCTGTGCAATTTAAATCTTAAACTGAAGAAATTAATTAAGAATTTGTAAGAATGTTCACCGTGTTAAGACTTTAAACTTTTTAAAATAATTTTTTATTTATTGGTAAGTTTATATGTAATTGATATGTTTATCAGAATTTATGATGCCTTATTATTAATTAAATGTGGATGGGACCATATCTTTAAAATTCATGACGGGATCCTAAAATTTTTTTCCAAAATATAATGAGATTTTTCTTTTAAATTTTCTTAATATTTTTGAAAATTTTTACGGCACGTTTTTCTTCAAGCGAAAGTGATAATTTGGGTAACTCATTTCCGGATATAGTTGAAAAACCCATTACATTTATAAATTATCAAGCTATTATTATTTTCCTCCCAGAAAAACAGTCCACGTCCTAAAATTGAAAATTGTATTAAAATTTTTTAATTTATAATAAATTAATTAATTACTAATTTATCAAATTTTAGTACCCAACATACTCATTTAAAAATATTTTGTTTGTGTTTGTCCTTTGTTCATAACTTCAGACTGCACCGTTTGGGATTGTTGATCTATAACTAAAAGTTCACCGTCAGTGCAAAACTCTAACTCTAAATTAAAACGTCTTGCAGATCAAGTAAACAAGTCACTGCTTATGAGCATGGAAGAAGAAAGGAGAGAGTCCACTATCAAAATGACAGCAGCTAAGCTCTTCACATTTCTCAGTGAAGAGGTAAGCTTTAGAATTGAGATCCCAGCTTATCAGTGATGAGTTTGGTCACATGAAGGCTTTCCTCCAAAAGGCAGCACATAAATTTGATGGACGTTTGAATTATCTCAAAAAAGATCTTGCAAATAGGAGAGCCTAATCCAAATGAATGAAGTACCTACTTTACCAGCGCTTATACTATTGATTACATTATATTCTGGGAGAATTTACAGTCACCATTCACCAAATCAAGTGACGAGTCCATATCCATCATCGAGACTGGACTGACCCATTAACCGGGAAGGGAGTCCAACCGCCTCTCTTAGGGCGGTTTAGGTTGCATAAACCTAGTAGGATTCGGAGACTTCCTGGGGATTTTCATGCTTATAAATAGGGTTGATCGCATATTGGTACAGGTACACAATCTATAACTTAACACACTACATACTTAAACGTTCCAGCAACCCTTTATTGACTTAAGTATCGGAGTGTCTATCCTCGAGAGACTCCCGAAACTCTATTTTGTAGGAAACCCTAACTGGAGTTCCACAATTAGACCGGCGACGCAAAACTAAGCTTCGTCATCAAGTGTGGTGAGAAGTGAGAACCTCTACAATAAATACTGGATTCATCTTAATTGTAACACTTTAATTGTGTAACGTTTTTCATAGATGAAGATATAGTTCTAACGGTTATATCAATTATGAAAATGTTAAGTAAAATTTAAGTATTAATAACTTGCTAAAATAATAGTTTTTTTTTTTTTTTTACGGTGAAAGATCTCCTATACTATAATTCAACTGCACCTTTTACATTATTCATTCAATAGCGGGTTAGTGTGTTTGAAAATTTTAATAAAAGAAAGTAACAATTATATAGAAACATGGGACAAATTTTATATGGTGTTTTAAAAACCGTTGTAGAATTGTGGTGTAGGAGATCACTAGTCATTTTTTACGTGTTGAAACATTTGAAACAATTATGGAAGAAAGTATATGAAAATGGATAATTTAAAGGACCATATTTAAAATGACCATATTTAAAAGATTGAACATGATGAAATTGAATAAATATGATAAAACCCAATAAATACATAGGATAGAATATGGAAATTGCTCCAAAATTCTTTAACAGTGATGACGAGGACCACTAAAGCACCTTACACGGGATTTCATATAATTCGCGTTGTCTCATATTAAAATATTGCTGCAGAACATAAGAAAAATTACTTAAACAAAGACAGTGACGAAAATTTTGGATACATTTCCTATAATAGTTTTTATTTATATCCTCTAATAAAATTATAGAATTAAAAAAAACTGTTAGCTAGCTTGGATACATATATGGTCATTTAATGTAATCCTTTCAAGCTATAACAGAAATGTTACAACTTATGACAAAAATTCGGAATGATGAAGTTATGTGTACGTTTAAAAAATCTAACGAGAATATAATATTACGTACTCCCTTCATTCCAAAATAAGTGCCGTCATATACTTTACACATAGTTTAAGAAACTCTTAAATAGGGTAATAAAATTACTTAAATATCCTCAACCAATCTCATTATAAAATTGTCCACCAATAGTATCAACCCTTTTGAAGGTAATTTTGGAAACTTTTAACAAAAAGTGTATTGAAATGTGAGAACGACACTTATTTTAGAATTTCTCCATTTTGCTAAAACGACACTTATTTTGGAATGGAGGGAGTATAACATAAAACTGCTGCGGACTATGATTTTGACGACAAAAAAAATGACTTAAATACACAAGTTGAAACGTGGAAGAGTGCCGTATGTATAATTCCGCGCCACATTACTCATTCAGACAGTTTTTGCAATAAAAAGCCACTCTTCTTTTTTAGCCTCCCAAAATCTGCGCAACAGAAAAATCAACCAAATCCACACACACAAACTCAAACTCAAAATGCTGCCCGAAAAGCAAAGATACTCGTCCGTGACCACCAGAGCCATAATCCTGACAATCATCCTCATTTTCCCGGGCTCATGCTCTGCCGCAACCGCCTCCGCCACCGCCACCGCCGCGAGTCCGGTGAAAACGGTGGTGGTGCTGGTGATGGAGAACCGGTCATTTGATCACATGCTTGGATGGATGAAGAAGCTGAATCCCGAAATCGACGGCGTAGACGGAACCGAGTCGAACCCGGTTTCCACAACCGACCCGAACTCGGCTCGTGTTTACTTCGGCGATAAATCACACTTCGTGGACCCCGACCCGGGCCATTCATTTCAAGCCATCCGGGAACAAATATTCGGGTCCAACGACACCTCCACCGTGCCTCCGCCGATGAATGGGTTCGCCCAACAAGCCCGTTCCATGGACCCCAATATGACGGAAAGTGTCATGAATGGTTTCCTACCTGATAAGGTAAATTTAATTTACACTAACTTTCAGTCTCAATTCATTTTCTTCTTCTTCTTCTTTACACGTTGATGGGTTCATTTATTATTGGAATTAAATGATAGTTAAAAGATTACAGTAATATTCCAAATCCTCTCCATAGGAAAACCTGTTTTTTTCCTATTCTTTTAATATGTAACACGTGATAAAAAGTTACATAACATTTGTATCTTCAGAAAAAAAAAACAAAAAAACTTTATTAGTAACTTTCCACAACCAAATAATCAAATAGCTCGAAGCCTCGAAGCATGATAATGGGACGGTTATTTCTAAGGGTATAATGACATCATGCGCATTAATATAAAATTAAATATTTCGTATTCTAAAATGATTATATTACTAAAACAAATAAAAAATAATTATCGGTAATAGTACTAATAAATTTTGTATTAAGACCTACTTATGAGACAAATTAATTTTTCGATAGTATAAATATCAATCCAAAATATAATAAAAAATAAATAAATGTGTATTGTATCACTATATTATCAGACATGTCACGTTAGACATCGTATGCCGTATTTGCATGTGAACGATTTCTGTTTTTATTTCAACAACCTTATCTTAATTGTCCTTTGCCTATGGTGCATCGTTATATTATATTTAAAATTTTAAAATCAGTCGGTATTTCACCGTCGGCCGCTACAAGGGAACCACCAACTTGCTTTAATTTCGACAAATTAAGTTTCAAAAATTTTTGCTTGAAAAATGAGTTGGCCGGTTGGGAGTAACGTGGTCCGACAACAATGATTTGACAATGAGCGGTGGATGGTGATGCTTTGATTATTGGTACTTAGAATGATTGGTGTCGAGTAAATTCTATTAATAATGAATTACTAAAGATCACATGCATGTAATTTGATATAATCTCTTCATGTGAAAATGATTCTGAAAAGAAAAAAGAAACCAATTATTTGTACCACTGATTGCTCGATGGTTGGCAAGCTATTGTCAGGATGATTAGAATGGCAGGTTGTCTTATATTTACTTTATCCCAGTCAATATTCTGACTAAATACCATTTCTTTTTAATTATAAAGCTCCATTTTCCAATACATGAAATAAGGCTAATCAAAGTTTACATTCGTACGGGAATAATCTCCTAGGTTATTTGGTTGATCGAAGATAATAGTGATTTTTTATTCAGTTTTTATATGAACTTTGCGAATGTGGAGGAACCCTTGACAACTTCTTAAGAATTCAATTTAGCTTATACTCCTACATGAGAGTTTTAACTTTTAAGAGGAGGGAGGGATGTAAAACAAAGAATGTTGTTTAATAAGTGAAACATAATTTCTGCCTTAAAAGAAACTTATTTTTATTGAATCTTTTTTAGTACTTATAAGATATGACTATTATTTAAAGAGAGGAAACATATTTGCTCATGATAATTAATTAGCTTGTCCTTTCTTCTTTTGGCCCGAAAAGAAATATCTTGATAACACTGCATGCATGTAATCTCTACTCTCACTCCCAGACCATTTTCTCAATTAATAATGAGAACCGTTTATAGCGATGTATACGAGTTAAGAGTCCTGTAGAAGGTCATTTGAAGCCAGACATAAGTAATTGCTTTGACAACAAATTAATTTCTATTCTTATGAATTTCTCTTTGCTTTTATGATCGAAAAAGATTGAAAACGACGTATGTACATGATTTTACACCTACCCTTTTGAAATTTGAGTAGAAGTTGTAGTTCATTGATCATTATTCTCGTAAATGTTGGGGATTATGGAAATCTTAAAATAATTATCGAATTCGTCGTATTATAAAATAATAAAACAGATAAGACAATCAATTTGGAACGAAGAACGTACATAATATTTCTAAATTAAATCATCACTCAAAATATTTCCAAAATAAATTCTTATTCTTCTCAAAAATAAATTCATCTTCGTAATTGTGTGAATTTGGTAAAAGAAAAAAAAAATCACCTCAGCCACATTTTCATTTCTAATTAAATTTACCTTATAATTTCAATCATTTTCTTAAAAACATTTTTAAGATTTCTATTGCTAAATTTTCAACAAAAATGAAACAAAGTGTATGAAATGCACTACTTTTTCTTCTTTTTTCCTCCTCAAGAAAATTAACTTGCACCTTAATATTTCACGTAACTACACTATTTAGTCATTCGATCACCTTTCCAATTCGAAAATCTCTTCAACCAGGTAGGAGTTTACAAGGCTCTGGTGTCGGAATTCGCGGTGTTCGACCGGTGGTTCGCGTCGGTTCCAGCGTCGACCCAGCCGAACCGCCTCTACGTCCACTCAGGAACCTCTCACGGCGCCACATCAAACATCGCCTCACTACTAATCAAAGGCTACCCGCAGCGCACCATCTTCGAGGACCTCGACGACGCCGGATACTCCTTCGGGATCTACTTCCAGAACATTCCCGCCACCCTGTTCTACAAAAACCTAAGAAAACTCAAGTACCTCGGCAACTTCCATCCCTACGGCCTCTCCTTCAAGAACGACGCCAAAAACGGGAAGCTCCCGAACTACGTCGTGGTGGAGCAGCGTTACGTCGACTCGAAGATCGAGCCGGCGAACGACGATCACCCGTCGCACGATGTTTACGAGGGGCAGCTGTTCGTGAAGGAGGTTTACGAGATTCTGAGGAGCAGCCCGCAGTGGAACGAAACTCTGTTTGTAATCACGTACGATGAGCATGGTGGGTTTTTCGATCATGTACCCACACCTGTCAGTGGGGTCCCTAGTCCAGATGGGATTGTGGGGCCCGATCCGTTTTTCTTCAGGTTCGACCGGTTGGGAGTTCGGGTCCCCACCATTGCGGTATCTCCTTGGATTCAAAAGGGCACTGGTAACGTTCATCCTATATCATTTCCCCTTTCTTTTTTGTTTCCTTTGTTTTGTTATTTGGCTTTACATATGTTTACATATCATGCCAGCAATATGTTTGAATTTTTTAGCATGAAATGGGAAAATAATATTCACCGCCCTATAAAATACTCTATGTTATGGTATATTTCACATTATAATTTGTGGATTGTATTGTTTTGAGTACAATTTAAATAATATAGTTTAGATTATTTTGTGGGACAGAGGTTGTAGGTTATGTTTTAGGAACAAAATATATATATATATATATATATATATATATATATATATGGAGAAATGTGGAATGGAGATGGTACTTAAACCACAATATATCTGTCGCGTAAAATGTTGATAATTGCCCAAAATGTGATTAGGTCTAGCTAGTCATCATACTGAAGATCTTATTTCCTTATTTATTTTTCGCTATGTTTCATCATTAAAAAAAACCATTTCATGTGAACAACAATGATGTAGCAAGTTAGGTGGAGAAGAGATTGGTTCAATTGTTTTGTTTTGGGGCGGCACTGACTAATTTTATTCTCTTTCCAAAGGGGAGGAGCCACATTATGCTCAAAAGAAAAAAAAAAGAAAGAAAGTGAAACTGAAAATTAAAGCAAGGAATATGAATATATATAGTTATGTGATTTTTGTGAGGTGGGAAAATTGGCATTCGATTTTGAGTGGCCTTCTTTTCTCGATTCTAAAGAACCTTATCACGTCGCATAGTGCAACCGAAAAGCGTATGATTAGACCAACCAGTTTAATTAAGCTTAAATACATGGCCAATACTAAAAGCATCCTCTTTTGGTGCTCATTTTCTCCTAGCTAGCTACCTATAGGTGAGGTCGAGAATATTTAGGGACAACAAAAGAAGAAGATTATTATGTGTCCATTTTTATTTTTATTTTTTTGAAAAAAAAAAACTAAATTAGATGCTTCTGGTGACTTCTTGTGGTGTTCATTTTCTAATCCCATTATGATATTTGGAGTTCTCACTTTTTGAGAGCTTACACTGATAGTTTGTTTGATTTGTGTTTGGTAGAAATTTTCAATACTTTTTTTTCCCTTCAATTAATGAATTAATTTTTATATTTCCATGATTTCTCCGTATATTCTTGGTACAAATTAAGATACATATTTAAAAATACCTTTCCAATATTTGAAAAAGCTTTTACGTGTATTCAGTCAATGTACAGAAATCCTAACATGTTTGGTAGAATGTTTTTCCATTTTTTAATTAATTTTATATTTTTAGTGCAACTCTCTATTTTCTGGTTACATATTAAAACTACACTGTTAAAAACTATTTCATTATATTTGAAAATTCATTTATGTATTGAATCAATATATATGTATATAAATTTATGTGTTCGCTAGAATTTTTCAATATTTTTTTTTCATTTTTGAATTAATTTGATTTTTTCAGTAACTCTTGTATTTTTCTAGGTACGAAATAAAACTACAATGTTTTCTACCAAAAAAAAAAAGTACAATAAAAAGAACTTCTTCAATATATAATTTGTAGATATAGAAAGCTCGTATTTATCATATGTATGTATATAAAACTTTTATATATAATCTCTACATTTATAAGCTTTCAAATCAATGGAATTAGGACATGAAAGTGGGTTAAGCTTTATGTTGACGACTATGTTTGTAGCTTCCGAAGGACAACATTTGCAGCATGGTGAAATATTAGGGATGAATATTAGCATTTCTCCTAGCTTTGTTCATTGAATCAAAGCATTCCCTGAATTCAGTTTGGAATTTGATGAGCGATAGAGTGCAATGCAATGTTATTAATTTCCTTTTTTCATTTATATTTCTTGACTCGATAGAGGAGAGCAATGCATGTGTTTTTCTTTTACGTAGGCGTGTTATTTACACAGATGTGAAAGCAACGACAACAATAGACATGATCAGCTAGCAATTCCGTTATGAAGCACAATACATTTTGTGACAATTTGAAAGTAAATTTTGGTAGCAGCATCATACATATGCAATTCTTTTTTTTCTTTTTTTTTGTTTTTGGAAAAAAGTCACAAGTTTATCAATCGACGGATGGTTTATACGAAATTGAGATGGGTTAGTTTCTATTCAATGCAGTTGTTCATGGACCAAAGGGTTCACCATATCCAACATCAGAATACGAGCACTCCTCAATTCCAGCAACAGTGAGGAAGATCTTCAACCTACCATCTCCCTCTTTAACCAAGAGGGAACAGTGGGCTGGCACCTTTGAATCTATTCTCCACACCCTCAAATTCCCCAGGACTGATTGTCCAGGTTCATATTTCCCTTCATCTTTTTGATTTCTCTTCATTGTTTGTTTCCTTCAGAATGCGCGTTTGCCTTAATAAAAACAATAGTGCAGCAGATATCTTTGGGTGGATGATCCAACGTAAATTGTCCATAGGATTGTAATCCTCAGTTTCAATCTAGGTGTTTTATGCATTAGTTCCTTGTATATGATTCAGATCCTCAGTTTCTCGCTAGATGTTTATATGCATTCTATTGCTTAACATTTTTAGAAAATACCTTTCTAAACGTAATGGCTAGTTAAAAGGAGTATGTATAATGATAGAGTAATAATGGAGCAAAGAATAATGGTTGTTGATGTGGAAAGTGAATTACATCGATCTAAAATTGGACGTTTTACGAGAAACTATTGAAATGGCTTCACTTGGTTTCATGTTTTGTTCATGTACTTATGCTACTACACCTGGGTTTCTTTTTTGGGGGGGTTGCAGAAAAACTTCCAACTCCAATCAAGATTCGGCAGGGAGAAGCAAATGAAGATGCCCAATTGACCGAGTTTCAACAAGAAATGGTTCAACTCGCAGCCGTGTTAAAAGGAGAAGATATCTTAGCGACTTATCCAGAACAAATTGGGAAGGGAATGACTGTAAAAGAAGGGAAGAGATACATGGAAGATGCAGTGAAGAGCTTCTTCGAAGCTGGAAATTCTGCTAAAAGAATGGGAGTCGATGAAGATCAAATTGTTAAAATGAGGCCTTCCCTTACAACTAGAAGATCCAAGCCAACCCCTGAATACCACCCTTAATCTCAAGTCTGAAGTTATCAAATTGTAAATCTATATATGAAACTTTATCAAATTGTGTATCCATACTTTTACACAGTTTGATAGAAAAGGAATGGATATGTTAATTTGGTAATTAAAATATGGCCCATGGACAGCTAGAACAACCCCGTGTGGTAGCAAGTCAAATGTTGTTTCTGCCAAGACTCACACGCACGTCTCAATCAATAGTCCCTATAGGATCCTGCATATGTTATTATGTTTAAAGGGACAAAGAAATCTCAAAAACAAGCTCTTGGGATCTTTGTTTGGTCTAATATTTAATGAGTGACAATAGTATTTCCTAATATTTTCATATGATATCTCCATTCTCTACATAAAACACCAGTCATTATGTCCCTGATTCTGGCGATACCATAAATGTTGCCGAAGTGTATATGAAACTTTCAAATCAATGGACAGAGAGATCTCTATTGATAATGATATATATCACTGTACAGTGTACAAACCGTATTTAGCCCCCCAAAGTAGAAGAGGAATCCAACCAAAAGACTTGTATGAGAATCATCAGTACATTCTTCTCCTCAGGGTTTTACTCTCCCTGTCTTACTACCTGTCCTGCCAGCAGTTACGTTATCCTTTCAGTCTCAGCAGAGCCGCATATGAGCAATCTAATTTGTATGGTTACCCGAAGCATGCAAAATATGGTTTTTTTACTATATTCTAATAGTAGTCATTCTGCATCCCATCCTGGGATGTTTGCCGTGGCTTCATTCACCGCTTTGACAAGTCTTACCTATTGAAAAAAACACGAAATAGTTACCAAGACAATAAATTTTAAGCCATGTTTCATATCCTCATTAAGCCAAGTTTCAAGCCATGTTACTACTATCAAAATATAACCATGCAGATTCAAAGCTAATATGACCAATTCCTGTCCTAGTCAACTATCATATATGCCTATTAACAAAATTCACCGTTTTCTTATTTTAATAAAGATTTTGCTTTTTCAAGATGGTTTTATAAAATCTAAAAAAATAAATGAAAAATCAAGTGTTGTAAGTTAATGAATTAGAGAAGGATACATTCAAGCAGGATCATGAGCAACATGAGTAATTCAACAGGTAAAATGCTTATGCCCTCTTCCAACAGTCATGAACTCCCAATTCACGATTTCAAAAACACACTCCCTCTGTCCTGAAATGATTTTCCAGTTTGGATTTTCACTTTTAGTACAAATTGTATAAAAAGTAAAAATCCAAACTGGATAAAGCCCGCCATCTAAAGCCAAATAATCAAAGCCAAATAATCAATCTCAAACTAATCCAAGAAAAAGAAAAAAAACCAAGGATAGCACCCGAGAGTCAAACATTGAATCTAAACAAGTACATCCAAGATCAACAGGCCAATATAAACAAGTCCAACATTATTCACATCAACATGGAAACAGAACAGAATGACCAACAGTTAATTTCATTCATAGCATTACAATATTTCCCTCAAGGATTAAATGGCATGATTTTGAGGAAATATGGCATGACAGATTATGTATAACTATCTTCTAAAACTGACATGCAAAATTAACCGTCTTTCCCAGCTAGTTCAAAGAAAAAGAAAGAATGATAGTACACAAAATAAAGGCAAGGAACTAACAGAAGGAAAGAAGACAGCAAATAGGAAAGAGAAAGACAAAAAGAATTAGTAGGCGAAGTAAACTGTGCAAACGAACAACAATCCATCCAAATAAAAGAAAGCTTATAACTAAGCAGTACCTGAAAGCAAAGACAACATAGAGATAGATTTATGGCACAGAAAACTAACAAACAAACTAGGTCTTAATTATGGATAACTGATCCAAATGCCTCCAAAGCTTCAGTGACTCAGTAACAACGATTAAACTTACCACACTTTCAGGAACCCCGGGAGGGGGCAAGGAGAGATTCCTAGGTGGAGGACCGCGAAGATAAGACCTCTTGTCAAATCTCCATTCCCCAATCTTCCCATATGTCAACTCCCCCTGTCCAGATAAGAGTAGACTCAGCTTGAATATTTAAGTCCTCTAAGGAATCATCACTTTTAGTTCGGAAGAGCACATAAGAGAAAACTCTCTATGAGAGTGCCTTAGTGCCAACTCAGAACTGCAAAACTAGTAGTACTAGACAAAAGATAAAATCCAGTTCCAAGCTACCTTCATGTTGTAGTCACATCCATAAGTATAGTGTATTATGAACTTCTTTCCAACTTCCAAATCCCAAGGAGGCTGCACTTCATAGAACAATTATTAATACGAGTATCGACCTAAATTACCCACACAATATAGCAAATGATATCTCACCTGTATCATAAAGTCCTTACGGAGAATGTGGCGCACATCATGCAAAGCAGATGCAACAGCATAGCCATACCTAAAATAAAGTACATAAATAAATGTCAAGCCATAAGAGCAACCAGTTAATTCATAGTGCTCAGCAGTCTTCAACAAGAAAGTCTAACATTCATCCAGAGATACGCACATTTCTAATACCCAGCCAAAAGACTTGTCAGTTTCAGGGTCATCTTTCATCCGCAAAGAAACATTCATCCATGTCGGAGCAATTTTCTCCAGAAGTGCCTGCCACAATTGAGTTGGTTGATTAAAAGTTTTAAAAAGCAAAAGTTTCCCAAAAAAATTATAATTATTCACTGGTTAAACCAACCGTCTCTATAAAACTGATAGTTATATAAAATGGTTCAATCCAATTGAGTAAATAACGATCATAAATGTGCATTTCCAGACTCAATGTCTGTGATATCAACATGCTGAAACATAAATTGGAAAAGATGAAAGGCACCCACAAAGACATGCTTGGATGAGTCTTGAACTGAAGTCCTTCAAATATTCAAGTACAGGAAATTGTAATCTGGATGTAAAAAGACCATTCACCCAATCAAAATAATTTCCTTGGGCAGAGTAACCGTCTGCCACTCTTCATTGGGCTATGTCCCCATGATAATATGTTTAATAGTAACTGGGATGAAAATAACTCAAACGGGAAATCCACCAAAGAAGCTGGTTTGATGGAATCCCAAACATTTAGGTTGTCATTCCAACCTTCAATCCAAATCTTCTAAACATACATCAATGTAACCATTATCGCAATACCACATAACCACTACCACGTAAAAATTCCCTAAACCCATCCCCATGGAATATGACAGGGTTTCTCTCCTTCCAAGCAAAAGAGAAAGGGATAAAATGAATAGAAAACCAGATGATGAACTAAAACCTTGCCAATACACTACCCATCCAAGAGATAATAAAATACAAACATTGTAATATGACCATTTGTGCTTAGGCATGCAGGAGGGATGGAGGCAGGGTAGGAGGCCGGGAGGAAGACAAAAAGAACCCATTGGACTCCGATTTTAGTATGCAAAACACATTTCCAAATGAACACAATGTCTAATCTTAACAGTTGTGTCTCAAGTGACTGTACATCATTTTAAGCGTAAACAAATATTGTTCAAGTGCAAAGGGAAAAAAGGAGCAGCTGTACCTTTTTAATAATAACAGGTGAATTGCCTATGGGATCAATATTAGTCACAGGGCCCTTCTCCTCTGGATAATATTTCCTCACAATTTTTTCATTCTCTGCAGGTTTTATGTAGAAGAAAGGAAAAGCAGCAGGATTGTCTCCATGCGACAAATTAGGCAACGGGTTCACAAAAACGTGATCAGGTTCTGCCATCAGAATATATCTGCATCAGAAATAGCTACAGTTATGATTCAGATGAAAATATATTAAGAGACAATCAGCTCTTCAGAATCAATACAAGGTGCTTACTCCTCCTCAATATTTGCTTTCTCTAGCCACTGGACAAAAGCCCACGGTCTATTTAAAACAACGTACCCCTGGTTCAACAATACAGGAAATCAATGCAAACTTCATGCAATTATGCCGAATTGCAGACAAGAACAGGCAGCAATATGAACGAAACCAAAGCAAAAACAATTTAAGCACTGAAGGTTTCAAAAATAAGAAAGCAGATATATTATTCAAGTTTATTGCCACATTTAAATTCCTAAAAGGCATGTCGTTAAAGAAATAAAGTGAGAGTACAGTATGCAAATTTACAGGTTTATGCATGGAGTTCCATTTACAAGTCAACTCAGTTGGATTAATTATTCGGCCCTTTCAGACCCGATCATATAGCTTTTAGCTCCAGCAGGCAAAAGCTCTTGGATGCAGAATTCACATAAAGAGCCAGATAGCACATAGAATATGTTGAGACTGGTGGTTGAGCCAACGATACAAAATACACAGCTAAAAGTCAGACTTTTATTACACTGTCAGAAATTTCAATATTTCAGTTAAACAGGATCACAGTTAACATATCAAATGAGTCTCTCAAGAAATGCAAGAAGTTACACTCCATCCATGAAATGGACTGCTTGAGAAAGAGGTGTGATCAACAGAACTTACTGAGACAGATTTCATCCATATTTCTACGAAGAATTGGAGTCCCAAAAATTTAATATACAACAATTGAGAATCTAGGATAAACGGGAAAAGAAAAAAAGCTCTTAAATGGGAATTATTTGTCATGCGAGCAAAATTAGGCTAACGTAGTTTTTCCAATAGAGGATTTCAGGAGACATTAAAATGCAGTGCAAACTTTCTATCCTGTTCCCCATTTCTTTCACAGCTGACAGGACAGTTGCTCAAAAAATGTGATACTCCTCAAAACAAATACCCACAGGTGGAGGTCATAAAAGAGTACACTTCACGACATAATCAACACTTCAAACAACACGATTAACTATTCATACAAAGTGATCATGGTTTCAAAGGTCCACATATTGAGGGAGACAATTAAGCAAACCGAAGAGATTGTCACACTTTCAACTTGTATTTCCTCTAGCATAAAGTATTCAAGATTGTTCAACGTTTCAGCCACACATATAGGATTATGGTCCCATGCATTTTTCAGTGTTATAAATCATTTTCTTTGAGGTTCCAAAATATGATAAAATCATGCTTATACCAACATATCATCATAAACATAAGCTGGGCTTTAGATAATAACGAACGCTTCCACCTAACCCAGAGATTATAATCAATACATAAGCAACTACACACTTGTAGTGCGACAAATAGAAATGGTTAGGTAATTAACAAGTGAAATTCAGCGTGTATACGAAAATTTGATCAATGAACATAGTTACCTCAGCCTCACATTCCCAGAAATGTTATCACCACTTCATCTATTTCTTTATTATATCAAATAGCCAATAGGGGGAGAAGCAAAATCCTTTCACAAGGACATTCTCCTCTCACATTTTTCGTGAAATAACAACTTCCTACTAATCCAGCTATGCAATTGAAGACTGACAAGATGTTCCAAACAAACAAAAGTATTTACTTTCATATCGTCAATGGAAAAACACAATGCATCTTTATCAAAGTACCTTATCAAGGATTCTGATAGCCAACACTCATCCCAATGAGAATAACCAAGTTCAATACGCATAAATTCAAATGTCCAACAATAACTAAAGATGAAAGAGGAATATATATATATATATATATGTATAGTATACATATATATATATATATATATATATATAAACAAAAGAAGAGCTCTCACCCTATCCAGTCCTTCTGGAAGAGGATCAACGATAAAAGTCGGAATCTCTTCCATCAGATTATCAGGCTTCCCTGAATGCAAAACCCGCGTAAATCCTCCCATATCTGACCCTGGCAGGTCTTTCATTTTCTTATACCAATAATACATAATCCTACACTGCCATTTACTATAAGGGGCATCGGTTGCTGTTAAAGCAACATGATACTTTGCATTCGAACCGCCTCTCCCATTCATCTCACGAGGCATCTCAACCACAGGATCAAACCAGTTAGCGCCCTCACTAGATTCCGCCAGTTTCCCTGAAGTTATCCCTTTGTGGTGCATTACCATGGTTAACAAGTTATACGTCGCAAAACCAAAACCCAGTGACAACAAAACTAAAAGTAAAGGCGAGGCTTTGCCCATATTTTTCCTTGCTATCATGTTTCACTACAATCCCATATAAGAAAAAAGTTCCCACCCAAACAATTAAAACCCAAATTCCAGTAAAATCCACCAAAATCTCGACAGATATAATCACTAATTTGGTAAAACAAAAAGTTACAAAGGGGTGATCTTGCTGGAATCCACCTGCAACCACACAGCAATATAAGTGGGAAATTCAGTTCTTTCTTATAAAATGAAGCTGATCCATCAGAAATTAACGGGACACAAACAGCGACTGAACTCACAAGCAAATGACAAAGAATCAAGAAACAAAAACAGATCGATGAACATACCACAGTTGGATCACAGACGAGAAAGAGATTTGGTAGGCGTTGAAATGAGTATATATAACAGATGAAGGCTAATGCAACCTTAATAGAGAGAGACTAACAGAAACGAAACAACCATGTTGCTTTTCTTGACAAGAATGGTACTCCAATAAAAGAGAATTACTCGAAAAAATGGAAGCAATTTTATTATTATTTTTTTCTTTTTTCGTTTTGTTTAACGTTTTTGTTTACGCGTACTGACAGGTGAAGAAGTATGGTTTTAGACTTTTAAACTGGACGAGCTGGCCGACAGGTTTAGTTTACTGGTTAATTACATTTCTCCCCCAAAGTTCGGCCGTATTACCGAATTTCCCCATTTCCCCTAGCTGTTTAGAAATACAACTGATATCTTCACTGGCAAATCAAACATGAATATACATCGAGTTTAGATCCTTGTTATCTAAGATTGTTGATGTTGATGGAAAGAATATCGTTTAAACAAAAAAAACCATCGCTCAAGGAACTCACCTTAAAACCACTCGCTTCCTTATTTTTTCTCCCATTATTTTTGTTTACACCCACACAAAAAACTCACTATAGTAGTACTACTTTTTTAGCGACGAATTTTAGCACTCTTTGGCCAAGGCTATAATTTTGTTGGCAATGGCAGTTAGGCGATTTCTCCCTAACGGATGATCATGTTTTTTATATGCGAGAAATTTTTTTAATGTAGTTATTAATGTCGTAATAGGATACATATATAGCAACATTTTACGTTTCTTTTAAGTGTAATGTAAATAGGAATAATAATAGATATTTTACTTAGAAAGACACATTTGAATGTCACGATAATTTTTTAATATGTCACTAAAGATACATAACACAATACTACGAATAGTAGTTTAATTATTGTATTATTACATTTGAGATTATCTTAATACTTTGATATTATGAAATTTTATTAACATGATTAACCGTCATGATACATTATTAGGACATTTGTACATGTACTTACAACTATTCTAGTGCAACGTTTTTCTGAGTCGTGATTTCATAGTTATGATACACTAAAAGATTGTCTAAATAGATTATTGTACATGTTTAGATGTCACCTAAATTAATTTTGATGACATTTTTTATGGTGTAAATGTGTCAGCGTTTCAAAACATTAGGACATGTAAAATGTGCAGATAAACAGTTTAAGGAGACATTTTTTAAGTCATCCAACTAACTTATTAGAACAACGGTAGGTGTGAACATCTAAATGTGTTGGTACATAACAAATTAAATAGATATATAGTCTATGAAAATATTTTTAGAAATTCATATAAATAATCTGATATAAATGTCAAAATTGGAACCTTTTGACACATATGAAATATTCTAGACAAGTAGTTTATTGGGACATTTTAAGATGTCATATCATTAAGGTTTTGTGACAATTTTATTGCAACAAGATTTCATTCTTTTAAAAATTAATATCTTATCAACTGTAGAGTTAAATAGTCTATTACGATGTTTCAAAATATAAAGATAATTAGCATGATATGACAGTTTCATATGTCGAGATAAAATGGTATGTGATGCATATCAATACACAATAAGTAGTATGAACAAGATATTAACAATGTGACGCTTTTAGCTTGTTAAAATTTTATTTTATTTTACAGATATAGGTATATTTTTTTTTAATTTTCAGTTTATTTATATGTTAAGAAAAGTTACATGTGGTAAAAATAAAAAGCATATTCATTTAATTATAATGAACAACGATACACCAAACCAGAAATACATAAAAGCAACCAAAAAAAAAAATGTATGGATAGAAATCACTCTCAAGGCAACATTCAATATAATGCCTACTAGGTTCCAACTTTATTCGATACTTTCAGGTTAGTACGAGTTCAAATTCTTGCTTTATCGTGTTCTTGCCTTCATTCAATAAGTTCCACATGTATAACAAAAATAGATATATTATTAATTTCAAAATTTGTTGCAAAAATATTTAACAATTTTTTTTATGTGTTATATATACCAAGTTGCACGGCCAAGAAATAGACACACCAAACACTTCTTCGAAAGTTAGAAACAAGTCATAAGGTCTGACCAAGTGTTCACCATAACGAATCACTGAATTTCTATGAATTTCACACCACTTAGGGCCAAGTGGAACTTTCCCCACTTCAATATTTGGATCAAGATTGCGAATGACCCCTTCCGCCACAATTTTATGGATTAATTAGACTCTTGATATGAACGTCTTTTTTAACCTTCAAAATATATAAGAGAGACAATTTTAATAACCCTTACAATCTAGTGTATACACTTATTATCATTTGACCCAGAATTGATGACATACTTTAATTAAGGGATAAATAACATATCTGAAGATGTTGATTTGTTGGAAGTGATGTAGATGAATCCTGATATGTCTCTGTTGTGCTACCACTTGTGATTTTAGTTCAGCAACTGAATCTTTTATGTCTGGGATTTGTCTTTTATACTCCAACAGCTCACGCCATGTGACATTACCTCAAATGATGACAAGTGTCCCTCAACTTAACACAATCATTAACTCGATCAACTCTAGTTAACTCATCTTTTTTTTTTGGAGAATCCAGGGCGATACCTGGCGGGAGGACCCCGATTTTATTAATTAAAAAATAAAAGTTACATAAGGCAGTGCTTAAGACTTACCCAAATGAAAAAGAACCGTCTTATAAAGTTTTCTAGTAAAACTCCTGACGATTCTTGTGCAACTACACTAGGAACTATCTTACAAAGATAGAACTATAATCCCCTGACAGTTCACTTGTCCTATCTAAGTACCTAGGAGCTTGCCTTACAAAGATTAGAAACATTAATCCCCTAGCAACTCCATCTAGATTTTGAAGATTTAGAGACTATTTAATCCTAATATAAGGGAATGAAGATTGATCAAGGTGAACTTTTCCACGGATTGATGCCGGAAGTTCACCATAGTTATTATAATGACATGAAACCCTAGCCGAACCTTTTTTCGCAAGATCATCAGCCACGCTATTTACCTCTCGTTATATATGCACAACTCTAGTTAACTCATATAATTATAAAAATTAATACAAATTTATCAAAAAAAAAATCCATCCCCCTTTACTTTCCGGCCACCCCCCCTTCCTCTTGTGAAGATTCACATGGGGGATGGCTTTTTTTTTTTGAGAATTTTAGATTTATTTTTATCATTATATTGGGTTAATGAACTAATTATACGAGCAAACCAGAGCTTGGTTGAGTTAATGATTATGTTAAGTTGAGGAACACTTGTCATCGTTTGGGATAATGTAACAGGGAGTGTCACACAAATGTGGCACAGAAAACTTGGAGCCATTCATGCTTGTACATGAGTTGTGTTTGGACATCACCTAATGCGTTGGGTGAATAATGATCCGTCTCAACCATCCGAAGGTTCCCAGGAGGATATGGGCCAACAACTTTGGCAAATATGTCGTTGGGACCAATTGGGTCTTTTACACCTTCTGAGAGTTCATTTTTTCGTTGTTCAAGTTCATCCTACATTTTAAATGGAGAAATTTAGTTTACTTTTGAAACTTTTAGCACTTTTAAATCTAAATATTGATGCAATTTTAACAAGGTACCAAAACTTACTAAACATTTCCCAATATCTCTCTTGTAGCACTTTCCTATTCTTGTTACCAGAACTTACTAAACATTTCCCAATATCTCTCTTGTAGCACTTCCCTATTAATTCAGTACCCAAATGCAGGAATATCTTTCTAGTTTTCCAAAATAATATATATTCATTTAGAAAACTATGCTAAATTTATATATACTCATTGCACTATGCATACAGATGACATCGTTACTTACTAAGACATGAGCCACTTGACGAAATGACTTCTTTGCAACAGTATGATTCATTAATTTTTGCGCCCCAGATTATCTATTTTTCTGACTTCGTTCCTGAAGAATATGGTAATAATGAAGCTATTATTAGCCTACAATTATGCATAGAAGAGAAAAAGAAAAAAATGGTTACCTCTACTTTTGGATGATTGGATCATCTCAATAAACCCGAATATTCTTCCATTGCTCTTTTTCTACTATCTCATCGGACAATTCAACTGAATTCGGTACTAACTTGTTGAGAAGGAAATAGTCAATTCCAGCTGATTTTTTCACTTCTTCCAATCAGCCATATATAGTAATGTTAAACCGAGTCTGCAAACATGATAAGTTAAAACATATAGTGATGTAAACCTCATATATTTGAAATACTATATATACAAAAAAATGAATCATATATTACCTCAATCGTAGCAGCATCTCTTCTTTCTTTTCTTTAGAGATAAATTGCCAATCTTTCAAATAGATTGGACAGTATGTATGGTTCCTTGCTACGGTACCTAAGAACTCAACAAACTATCTCGATTTGAACCTATTGTTTTTCCATCAGCATCAAACTCAAGTTTTGAGGGGGAGGGGGTTTATTCCCTGGATAACCCCGAGTAGCCAACATTATTGTTTTAACTCATGTTCTTTTCTTGCAATTTTAAAATTATTAGGTCAATTTCGTGGTGCAATAGAATGAAAGAGTGAGGAAAATATTTCACTTTTTTGCTCACGATTTCGACTTGGTCTTTTTCTTGATGCTAGCAGGTGTGACCATTGTTTTCGATTTCTTGATTACGATATTATCCTACAAATTAATTGGTTTAACAAAGTCTCTCTCTCTCTCTCTCTCTCTATATATATATATATATATATATATATATATATAACCTTTAACAAGGTTTGTGATGCCAAAAACTTCCACATCACTAATTTCATCATTTTCCCCTTGCATCTAGCCTGAGTATAATGCCTACAAATTTTGCATATTTGACCATTAGGACTGCACATTGCAAGCTTGGTTCATCATTTGCCTATGCGTAAATCCTATGAAGAAAATCAATTTAATATTGTATTGTTCTTTGATATATGTAAATTTTTATATTGTACATTAGCCTTACTTAGCGGTTTTTCAATTGGTTCGTCATGAAGACTATAATTCGTCTTATTATGCTTTCTCCTATTTGGCAGCATAACTGAGACATATCAAAGATAACAATATATTAGTAAAATTCTTGACAAACTTTCATTGAATTAACAAACTGAACAATTGTAATTTTTAAATTTTAATCACTAATGAAGATAAAATTCCACACCATAGATAATTTAGATTCAAATACACAAATAATAAAAAAAATTAGCATGTTGAATGACCAACAAGTAGAAAAACACCAATTAGGACAGATGGCTAATTGATGGTGCTTATTTTTACTATGAAAATGATTGACATATATCTATAGTATATATTAAAAGAGAAACTAGAGAGAGAAATTAAAAGTTATTCTTAGAGTGCTACATAGGACAAAATCTTATGTGACATTTTTTTAATGCATTCCTAAATAAAAAAAGTTATAATATATATGAAGAGAGAAACTAGAGAGAGAAATTAAAGTTAATCTTAGAGTGCTACATAAGAAAAAAAATCCAATGTAGCATTTTCTAATGCATTCCTAAATAAAAAAGTTTATGTAATTGTTGTACAAGTCCTCTTATTTTAGATGAAAAACAAACAGCTACTTATATATTATATCTAATTTATAATTTCAAAGTTTTGACTTCATAAAAAAATCCTCTAATATCTTCTGTAAGGAAAAAAAAAACAAATTCACTAATTACAGATCAATACTCCAATATTATCTCCATATCAAGGATATAATATTCATAACAAAAAATATTTTTAGGATGATTCCTTATATAGGTTTGTTCTTTCACACAAATATTTTAAAATAATATTAAATTTGTTATTATCCATCCAGCACAACGTGCGGATTTAACATCAGTGAAGCATTTGCTAAATACAATGAATTAGTTGAAAACCAATAGGATAGTGAATCTAAAAAAAAAATGAAAACTAAATGAATAAGACTTGTGTTTGTGCTACAACTGATGGTGGCGCACTATTGTGTTCAAACAATATCTTTGTTTCTTTGTATTCAATGACAAACACCTTAGCAAATTAAAACAATAACAACAAAGTTGCACTCTAAGTATCGTATACATGTATCTAATTTGTATGAATAAATCAAACGTAGGTCGCCTAGTTTTAAAGATAATACGGACTCCGCTAATTCCATTCATAAAAAGATAGCAGCAAAAATCCTTATATATATATATAAATTAATACAAAATGATTTTTACATACGCATCGTACAATTAGAAGTTTAGTAAAAATTAATTGTTACCTCTATGTATTAACAATTTTATAATTTTATTTAAGATTAAAAAATCTCAACCAAATAAATGTGAAACAAAAGATAAGATAGTTATATAAGATTTGGTTTCACTTTTTAAAATGGTAGTGGTGGTTATAAGGATTGATTATAGGGATTGTTTACAAATAGTAGTGCGGGTAAATTGTTATATGGTGGTGGTGCGGATTATTGTGATGATTTTTCAATTGACAAAGGGCACCTTGTCTTATTTTCTTGAGATGCATGAGTAATTATAAGTGTCGTTTTTTACTATTTCTTAGTTTTAATTTATAACACAAGATGGTTTGAATTTTGTTTAGTTATAGAATTTGTATAAGTCGAGAGATCTAATTCAAACTTTAATAACATTATTTTGAAATTATTGTCTGAACTTACTTTGACTGTGTTGTTTTTCTTCCCCTTTTTTGCATCTACAAGAGAAGTAATACCAAGTATACCACATATTAAACTCTGTCGGTTTAGCATATTAATTATGTTGAACATAGATTTATTATATCAACCATTTGAACTACTTAAACCACATATTTTCAAGATGATCACATTTCCTGTTCAGAAACACCACCAGCCAACCCGACACTTAGTCTTTCACAACACTGGACCTATCATAACTCATAACCAACACCCTGATAACATAGCTAACTAGAAAAATTTGACCTCCATCATTGTATCTCCGATACTTAGTGGAGAATATGTGAAGTTTTCACAAGCCCCCACAGCCATAGTGTATGAACGTTTCCACGCTCTTTATTTCAACCTTATAAATACTTCCAAAATGTACATAGCTTTAGAGCAGAAAACCGTGGTCCGCTCCGGACATGTTACTTTGCAAATTTTAAATCTTGAAGATTTTGGAATGTCCATCCACTCTGATTTCTGGGATCCATTCTGTCAAGGATCCCATCTTTTAATTAGAATCCTACCTATGTAACCATTATAACTCCACTTCTTCGTTTTCAATGAGATTACTAGGATCTTTTTCATCTTTTTCAGCTAGCTTCAGAAACAGCACCGTCAAATAGTCCTCAGCCTTCTACTAGGTCTATTGGTCACACAAATTGGAAAATACATGCACTTAATCTCATTTGCACCCTATCTTATGGTATCCTATAAAATAAAAAAAACCGAGTATATGTGTTTTGGAGGATCAAAAAATTCAGGGCTGGATTATAACCCAAGGCCAGGTGGCCTCATGAAATTCATAATAAACCAAAATAAATCTGGGGGCGCGTGACTCTGCTACAACAAATGGTGAGGCTTAGTGATGGGTTTAAAGGATACCATTACTTTGACTGGTTTAAATTTCTTTTTTTTTCCAAATGAATTTGAAAACAAAAATTGAATTTTAGAATTTTTCTTAAATTTCTTTTACAAAAAAGACTAGATTTTATAAGTTTTTCACAAAATCACGAGAACAAATAATCAACTTTTTATCTTTACTAACTAGAATTTGTGTAAATTTAAATTAAAAATCATTATAACTCGCGCAACGTGCGAGTAAGTACTAGTTTTTTTTTTGTTTAAGCACCAGAAGGCGAAATTTCTAACTCATATACATATGCGATTAAAGTACATGCGATATCACCCACTCCGGAAAACTTAGTAGTTTGACATTATAGTGTACAATAGAAAGAACAGTAAACAAACCTCTCATGAAACATTCCAAAGGAATGTTGCTCAGTAGCCGTAAGAGGTTCTTCTCATCATCCTCATGAACTCTTCGACACTAACTTCTCCATCATGATCTCTATCTGCTTCCTCAACCATTTCTTGAATTTCTCTTTTAGTGAAGTTTTCACCTAATTCACGAGCGATGCGTTGGATGTCCGCCATGGAAATTTTTCCATTTTTTATCTTGGTCAATGATTTGAAATGCTTTCATAAGTTCCTCTTTGTTGTCCCTTTCTCCAATCTTAGCAATCATCATATGCAAAAATTCATCAAAGTCTATGGCACCACTACAATCTTTGTCAACTTCTACAATCATTCTATTTATTTCCTCTTCTGTTGCTTCAAAACCAAGGGCCCTCATTGCAACGTTCAGTTCCTTAGCATCAATAGTGCCAGAGTTGTCAGTATCTAACAATTCGAAGGCCTCTCTTATCTCCTGTCTCTTTTGCTGTGTTAAGCCATGGTGTCTTCCATTGGGCTTATCTTTCCTCGACACTCCTCGACTTGCCATTGGGATCTGCCTCATGAATTTTCCGGTAGAAGAAGATTAGTGCAAACTGCAGACCAATCCAAAATCATATAATTTTAGCCGAATCAATCACACTAGAGAAATCCACAATAATATTTTTTGAAATTTTTTTTTCCTGGATTCGAACACGTGTTTGAGCAGTATTTTGCAACGTTCTAACATGGCCTCCCCTTTAAGCACTGTCGGAGGACTTGGTTGGGCGCATGCCCGACTTTTCACCGGGTCTCATTAACATTTTTTAAAGTGATTAAAAGAAAGAAACATGTATATTACATGCCAGTGGACTATGTGTAGATCAAATCATGTCTATTACATGGTTTTATTTCCTTTATTTACAAGCTAAGCTCATCAGAGAGATTACAACCTAAAGGCACCCATATTCTATACATATATTAAACATATACTACATTTCAAAAGGTTTAGTGCAGCAGACAGCCTACCCTCACGTGGTCATGGGTCTCCAACTTCTAAAATAATAGAAAACAAATTCTAAATGAGCCCTTGCCCAATGAGGTTCAACTGTTAGTAAAAAAAGTTTACAGTTCTCTACAAATAATCACATATTCATTAACATAACAGAATAATACCCAAAGGAAGGATACAATTGGATTTAGATGGAAAACCGATTCCAATCGACATGACTAATTGAACGACTTTTACCGTCAGTCCAAGTTTCCCAGAATACTATGAAGTTGTGCAGTTAGCAGTTAGTCATTAACCAATAGCTTAACGTTCATCGATAGGGTATTCCTCAAGTTCATACAATAACCTCTTAGGTTGTCTAGCCGAGTTATCAAGGCCTACGCTGACTCATAATGGTGTTGACTTTCTAATAGGGGAGTGGATCCACAAAAGCTCATGCATAAATCATTTACATGGCATAGGCAAAAGATGTTTGTGATAAAGTACACACACAATATAACTTAGACCATCATTTAGCACAATTTAGTCTCTATGTTAGAAGAGTGCACCAATGTAATCACCGGTAGCTAATAATCATACATGCTTTCATGAATCATGAATCCCAGTCACAAAGTACATACAACACATATTGAATCAATTTTTAATTGATCCATCCAATTAAAGCAATAAAATCACAGTGAAAATACTCACCAGGAACCGAGGAGTAAGTCGAGGATCCTCCACTGTAAAACAAATTAAGTTAAAAATTATTTCACTACTCTTAATTAAACCTTCGTATATAGGTTTTAAATTATTGTAAACCAACCTTTATTCCGCGCTCCATTTCTCTTTCATGTCTCTTTTTAACTCTCTCATCCATCTCCATGTCAATTTTCCTCCTTGTTCATATCAATTTTTCAGATCACAACCATTTTCTAATCCTAGTCTATTGTACATGTTTATTTTAGAATGCATGGGTGGTCTTTGCTTGATAAAATCAAATGTTGGCTCGCCCACGACTATGTTGGATGACGATGGAGGAGAAGAAGATGGAGATGGAGATGAGTTCAAATCGATTGGAGATCGACTCAACTTTGGTGTATACATATGCGCTCAAGTTGTCCATCTAAACCCTAAGCCAGAGAAGAAGAAGATACATCAAATATTGACTCCCACTTCTATTCTTTTTTTTTTTGGTATACTTTTTTTCTTGGGTACATCTCCCACTTATATTCTAAAATACTCCACCCGTCCCGAAATTTATTTTCCAGTGAGTATTGGTTTATATGATTCTTGAGTTATTCAAACTTTGAGATGAATTGTGCCTAAGAAATTCATCAAGTTCATCGAGTTTGAGGTTTTGGGCCTTAAGCCTTGAATCTCCATTATTGGCCCACGAGATTCACTCCTTTAAATGTTTTCGGATCCATGGGTCTATGCTTTACGCTTCAAACCGACATTTTATGCCTTTGGCTCAGATACAAATAAGTCTTACAGTCCCTTGTTAAGAAATGGGCAATCCCATCAAAATGGGCTAGTCTTATGCCTTACAGCCATCGCTATGAAGGCAAGTCCTGTTAACGGTCTTCTATCACCTGAAACCCTCTCGCAAAATCATTTTTTAGCTTCAAAACTTTTAAACCCTTCCACTTGCTGAGGTTGCCCTGAGAATGAGAATGAGGAAGCCGCGTCCTTCACCAGTCCCTGCCTCTGAATCCACCCGGGGAAACCCTCTCACTTCAAAATTTGCCAACGGAAAAGGAAGATTCACAATGAGGATCCAAAAGCTACTAATGGTGCTTCTTTCAAAATGGTCAAGGTCTGAAAATGAAGTGAAGCCCGTCAAAAGTGAGACTCCTACAAAGAGGACTGGAACTCCAACCCACCAACCATCTGCAGAGTCTACTTCCCATATTTGAACTTTCAAGGTTTCCAATTCCCACGACACCTCTATTGTTGTCATGATGTTCCCTGATAACGATGGTCTACCAGCTGTATTGCTTGTGAGTGATTCAAAGAGAACCTACAATGGCCATGATATTGATGGAAATGAACATAAGATTCTCAAGCGAGATGATGCAACACAAATTTTCAAAATTGGAAATTTTTTTGTTGGAGCTGCTGGGAGATATGGAGATACTAAGCACATGTTAGCAGGTCTTCGAACAGAAGTTCAAGCTAATAATGTGAGTAACCCTAAAGAAACTGCAGCTTATTTGCACAACAATGTTAATGGGCGCAAATGCAGCTTTATTGTTGCTGGTTATGATGCAGTTACATTAATGGCGCATGTTTGGGTCGTAAAACTTATTCTAACTCAACACCAATTGGCCAAATCATTGATCTTTATGATATTGGTAGTGGAACTACGCACATTTTGCCAGATGTAAAGAGGAATTACATCAATCTCTAAAAAACCCAGAATGTGAACATGATTTCTGTTGCATCAGACTAGTTGAAGGCTAGCGTTTGTTATGCTTCATCTCTTGACCCCGCTACAGGGGATACTTTGAGAGGGAGGTATATTGTCCCTAAAACTAATATTTCATTATTTTCTAGGGCTACTGATATTGTGCAGCTGAACCGAGATGTATACAAGTATTCTATGCCGATCATCACTATGCATGCAGATTGGATGAAGATGCTGAATTTGGTAGAACCTACAATCTTCAATTCCTTATGATTGAGATTTTTGTTGCATTTTTTGCACTTATCAGCAATGTAATTTACGTGATTTGTGGAGAATATTATTCCAATTCGCTACATTGCTGGAATGGAAATTATTTTAAACCAACACTACAGACTAGGAGCTCTACTTGAGGTTCTATAGACTCCTAACTCCCAATATTAGTTGTTTCCTTTACTTAACATTTAAAACAACCTAGTGGATTTTGTAGGAAAGTGATACTTTCTTTTAATAACAACAACTATGTTTCCTGATACATCTTTTAGAATCTAATCAATTAATAATTTGCTAGAACTAAGTGGCAACAACCTAACATTCAATCATTTTCTTAACTTTTTTCTGCAACTAAAGTATGAGTTCTCTTTCTCTTGCACAAGACTACACCAAAACCCAACCTAACTACGGAGTATCTAAATTCATTAATCGATGAATTAATCATTTGGGAATTGAACAAGCTATGGCATACTAATAGTAACCAACCATAGACCAACTCTTCTTTAGCCACCATCGATGAGCAATTGGCTCTACTCGAACAACTACTAGAGGACTTCAGAATGAGGGAGTCAATAAATTAGATGATGTTTGGCTCTTTAGTTTAAAATCTGACTAGGTCCAATTTAGTACCCCTTTGATAGTTTGATAATCCGACTAGGAATATGTAGATGTGAAAATGAAAAAAAAAAAAAGAAAAAGTGAAGGAGAGGGTTGAGGTTTTGACGGGGAAGGGAAAAAAAGGGGGTTAAGTTCTATTTCCTTCATTTTGTTATATTTAAACACCATACTCCTTATTTTTCACCTAACCATGGTAACCTAATCCTAGTTAAAATAGGGGTGGATTTTTTTATTTGATTCTATCATCCAACCCACTGTCTAGGCAAATCTTTTACCATAAAATATCCAACTCGTAATTCTAGGTTCTTCTTCTTCTTTCTTACTTTTCTTTTTGTTTTTTTCCTTTTCTTTAAACATGTGGTAATCTTAAACTAGTAATTTAACTTAATTAGCCAACCTCTAATTCACATTATTTTAATAAATACATGAGAGATATAGTACCCACATTGACGGTCCTCGCGAATTTGATCCTCTTTGAATGAGAATTAGTATTACAGTGTGGTTCATTCACAAAATAAGTGATGGAACTGTATAGAGATGTAGTTAGAGAATATTGATACAGATGAGCGTGGATTTGGTAGTTTTTATAAGAATGAACTACAAGATAGATCATTACTTTTGATGTGTTGCTCCCACCACAAATGGCTATAGTAAACAAAAAAGCCATTACAGGTTATTCTGTCAGTTTTTTCCGTTAAGTAACAGAAGTCCAAATTTTACATCCATGTTATATGTTTTTTGTCAAGGGGTATTTTGGTCATTTCTAAACCTTCAAATGTCAATTTTTTGGCATTTTCATCACATTCCAGAACCTTTCAGAAACGATGATCTAATAAATTAATAATCTTAAATATATATGAAAGGAATTTTTTCTCTGAGACACGTGTCACTCGATTAGGATATTAATAGGTTTTGCTATAAAATTTTTCAGTAAAAAGGTAATATTACATTTACTTTTAACTTTTTTTATTTACATGTATAAAAATTTTATTTCTTATTAATAAACTAATATTTTGTATATTTACTGTTTTATCACTGGGATAAAAACAGTAAATTGACAAAAAAGAAAAAAAACTACTCCGCCATTTAATTCCCAATTCCACTCAAAGTAAATCTGTCCAGTGATCTATTGTTACATTCCGGCGGACTCTATGTCGGCGGCCGATCGCGATACTGTGATAACGACTTTGTTAAACTGGGACTCAACACAATTGGAATGCTATGGTAATTTGATCCAAAAAAATTCACGAAATAACTTCGTAACATTGATGAGTACCACAGA